CAATATAGCCTGCCCTTTTAGAGCTTAGTAATCCAAAATCCTGCTTAAAAGTTACCTCCTCCATGTTCTGACTTTCAAAACCAAGTTTTTTTATACTCTAAATCTAGAAAATATGTAGCATGTCTCCGTAAACACTCATATTTCCAAATAATAAAAATATGAGAAGTTGAATTATATCATGATTGACCTTTTCCAAATATGGTCAGGAAAAAATCTGGCTAAACAGTCTAACCTCTTTCAAGGATTTACATGAAAAAGCAGACATTTGTGAGTGAGTGGAGGCTTAAATTAACTTTCATAATTCCTCCTCCCCCAATACAGTGATACTTATATATTGGATTCTGCCATTAATGTACAACTCTACAGGATATCTTCTGGGCCATCCATGAATTCCTAAGGAAATTTTCTGCTTTCTTTGAAGTATAAAAGATAATCTTTCAGCCTCACCTTTGCAACTTAAATTTAGTTATTTTTATATGCGCCTCCCTCATCAGACTAATTTTCTGTGGTCAAGGACTACCTCTTACCCTTTTTTAAATTCTTCTGCCCTCTTTTCCCCAACACCAGCACTTAGTAGCACATGGTCTATCATAATTCAAGTAATAAATATTTAAGGATATATAATCTCTTATGCAACTGAAGTTTAAGAAAATGTGTAAGCGGCAAAGTCATTAAAAAGAAACATCAGAACACCTTAAAATTAAAATTACAGTTCAAGAATATGTACATCAACATTCATGCAATGGAATAGTCCACAGTAACCAAAGTACACAACATAAAAACTATATTCCACAGTATATATACTCATTCTGGACATTACAAACACTGGAGTGACAGACAAGTCAAAAACAAATCTATGTGTATAATTCCATTTATATTAAATCCAAGAAAAGACAAGCTAATCTATGTTACTAGAAATCAAGACTGATAAAACATGCAGAATGGAGATAAAGACATTTGGGGGATGCTGAGTAATGTTCAGGATCTTTCTGACAGCCTCTTAACAGAATGTCATATGCACAGAGCAAGGGGGCATCCCAGAGTGGAGCAGGAGGACAGGAGGAGGCTCATATCCCAACCCTAGAGACTCCCGGATTCCCACTTAGGATTATCAGTATGGGCACCAAAGGCTATATCCCAACTGCCAAGGAGACCACAGGGAATTGGAGTGCCCTCGTAGGCCAGGAACTCTGAGGTCATCCACCCCCGTTTGGATCTACCATATGGATGGAAGAAGCCCAGATTCTTCCTTACAGAATCTAACGTCATTGAAATAACAGACAGGAGCCCTGAGTGGTCCTCAGAAACAGAAGAACAGTAAATCTCCTTCGGGTCCCGGGAGAGGAGCTTTCTCTGGTCCTTATTTAGTTCCAACTTTGGATCCCCACCCTCTCTTGCAATGACCATCAGGGTCTTTTCGGAGCCCCCCTCCAAAAAAATTAGATTAGATAGACAGAGACCAATAAGGAAAGCTGAGAACAGACAAGAAATGGTTAGCCTGGACTCACATATACCTTACTAGGTAGGACACAAAGATCAGTTGCTCCTAAGATATTGAAGATTTCTCTGCAATCCCCACCTAAAACTGTTCTACGCTTCAATCGTTAACATATGCCTTGTTAGATTTATAAACCAGCTTGGACTATTCTAAAGCTCACCAAGTTCAGTAAAAATTATGCTTCAATACTATAAACTGCTAAATATAAAAATGAAAATAGACAAGAGACAGTTGAATCATTTTAAGGTGCATAGCAGTTGGTTGTATATAAACCAAAATTTGAAAGGTCAATGAAGTAGTCACAGGATGTGGTTAAGAGCTTGCATTTTCTGACATACTGGTTACTCAACACCATGTCAATTAACTCCATAATGTTGCAAATTGTTGTTGAAATTATGTTGTGGCTTTTCATTGGAGGGAATGATATTCTGCCAGCTCTACTTTCAGACCAGGGATGGTCTCCCAAAGAAACTGTTGAAACTTTCTGGACAATAAGAGGCTGGACTCTACACATGGTATATGACTGGATATGAACTGTAATACTGCAACAAGGTGGAGGAATCCAACACGGAGGGCATAGGGAGAGGTTAGAGGAATCCCAGAGCCTATGAATCAATGTCATAAAACGAAATTTTAAAAATGTTCAGGATTTTTGAATTGGTAACCAAGTTTTGAGAAATTAAATATCTCAAGCTATTGATACATAAAATAATGAATCTACTGATATTTTAATTGAAAATCAAAACAGAGTTGAAATTTTACCATTGTTCTCTTTTAAACAGAAAAAAACATTTGCCAAGACTCAGAAGACATTTTAAAAGCAAATGGCACTACCTGTGTGGAAACATTCATAATATTCTCTAGAGAAGACTAAGGCTTACTCCTGTTAGGAGCAAGGCCATGATCCTCAACTGCCGACTGATCAACTCTTAGGGAGTCACTGCAGCGCAGCGTAAATTCAGGTTCAAATGAATGCAGCTGAGAGGCCGGGCATTAAATGTTACTGGTCAGTGTGTCTTATCCACCATAACATGTTCTAAGCTCCTAGCACAAATGAAACTGCAAACCTGATATAAAACAGCAAACAAAACACTCTTGAAAAATTCATTGTCATATGTTTGGAAACCAGGTAAGAGGATCAGTGATAAAAAAAAAAATATATATATATATATATATTCTAAAAAAATAAATTACCAGAATCCTAGCTTGTTCACAGAAGTTAAAATAGTCAAGTCTTCATTTAAACGGGGAAAAATCTGAGAAAAAATAACTTACTTTCAATGTAACCTATGTTTTTTTTAAAAATAGAAAGTCTGATTAAACTTCCTTAACTTGAAACATGTAATTGTTAAATTTTAAATGATTTTACATAAATTTTAAATAAAAGTGAGTTGCATGCAAAAATTATTACTAACATGAAACATACTAATTTTTACCAATGATTTTAAAAAGTCTTTGAAAACTACAGGTTATAGTAAAAGTGTTATAGCTATTATTGTATGATATATGAGAAGATATGTCCAAAAGTTCATAGAAAACAGAAGTAGAAGATAAATTTATTTTGGTGCAAAAATTTGTTAATTCATGAATAACAGTCTTCTCAAAGACCTCATTAAAAATTGCATGGTTTTAAAAATTTTTGGAGCCAAACTAAATTTATCTTTAATTCACTTTTTCCACATAATTTTCTGAAGTATCTTTATACTAAGAAATTCTGTGATGTGGAATCCAAATGAAATAGCTACATAATCTAAGAACAGGGAAACCACAAATGGGAACAGAGTTGATAGCTAATGATATAACAAAAATAACCTATGAAAAGGAATCGTCACTCACCACAGGAAATAAATAAAATTCTGTCATCACAATGATTATGATTTAGCCAAGCAGTTTATGATGTATCCGGTATTTCACTAATTCTAACTGCACTTAACTAAAACATCTCAATTTATTCAATTTTCTATTTACTATTTTGATTTTTGAGTTGCTAATTATAAACTGACAAAGCACAAAGACTTAATCTGCTATTTCTTACCAAACTTAAGACAACTATCTGAAAGCAATATTCTTAAAACACCAAAAGAAAAATGCAGAAGTGTACTTATCTCCAAAAATCAAAGCATATCTAATACATATTAGCATTCTGTGATCTCAGGCTTTCAGTATCCAATTGGTCTACATGCTTTTTCATGTCTACAGACATGTATTAAATCACAGATAATTCTTACAATAATTACTATGTAAACTTAAAATAAGCATGCCTTATTTGTTCTTTTCCTATACATGAAACTACTCATTTTAGTAATTTGGCTTTCTGAAATCTTTCATACTACAGTACACTATTTAAAGTGAAATAATTTTAGATTTGAACATAATAAATGAGCACATAACAGACAACAGCTGTCACAACTACCTATGAAAATTTTTGGCAACATCCTAACTCACAAATCCCCGGTTATTTCCTCATAGATCAGAATACAAAACTTGGCTCAAATACAGCATTACTACATACACTTGCACATAAATTCTTAAATGCATCTCTATATGACACTATAAATGACATTAAATTTGTGGGTGAGTTACAACAATTTAAAATGTACCTAAGATAAGTTTTTTTTTAAATCATCTAATAATGGCTTCCTTTTACAAAGGAATTGGTTATGACTAAAGTTTTTTTTTTTAATTTTAGAGATAGGCTAATTTTCTTGACATGTGAAGAATCACTTTATTGATTTCATTTTATTAAATATATATACCAAACAAATTTTTAGCCAGTTAAATATTTTGGATAAATCCTTTAATAAAAATTTAATCACATATCCTATAAACATAAGCTTATTAATATAAGAATGAATACAAAGATTTACTACAAACTTAAGTAATTAAATTTTTTAATCTAATTAAATACTAAAATAATTCACTACAGAATGTTTTATATTTAAGCAGTAATTTTTCTAATACAATAAAACCATTCCTTTCCACTGAAAATGTACAATTAGTAACTACTGGTTTGCTCAAAGTAATGTGACTTCCAAATGAAGCAACCAAATCCTGAATGAAAAACGTAGCTGCTAGTGATGCTAATATATTCTAATTCTGTATAGTGAGTCCAGTTCACTCAGTGACTGTGAATATGCATAAAATTGTTATTTAACAGGTAAATATTCTGGCATTGGTATTAATCTACAACTTTCAGTTAAATCTCTAAATCCACTCCACAATACACACACACACGTTACACACTTGCCCTTTGAGTTCTATTACAATCTGAAAGAGCAGCATTTTAGAATAACTCAAGACATTATGATTGTTATAAAATATACTATCAACTAATATATTTCAGAAACTAAAAACATTTTTTAGTATCTCAGTAAAAGCCAGTACTTCAGATATTTTATTACTGTTTTGTACTAAGTTAACATATGGACACATTTGGGTTTTTTTCCCCTTCTAAAAAAACACATGAGAATTAACACACAGCCCTTTCAATATTCATACTTACCAGCATGTGGGAAGTTTCAGTAGTTTGCCATAAAGAGCGGTACTGAAGGAGGGAATAATCGGTACAGGTAAGCAATACGACCCACTACCATCCAGCGACGTCAGCCCTGCCTGGAAGCCAAATATCTGAAAGAAAAGATCCAAATGTTCAGGGAGACAAAGTTTTAACAAACTCTGCATAAAATACACCAGCTTCAATTTGCTGTATAACAGCTGCATAATGAATATGTTCCAATGTCTTCTTCAACTTTCCAAACAATCAACATTTTCCTTTATACAAATTGGCACTAACCAAATCAAACTTAAGGGATTTAAATATACAGTATTTATTTCACATCCCTAAAATATCACCAGTTTTGTGTAACAAAATTTGTAAGCTTCCTATTGCTATATGTAGCCCTCATGTAGTAATGTTTGGTAAAATCTGTTGTTTCAAAGAACATCTGACTGTATTTTCCAGTATAAAAAAAAGGAATAATTACTGTTAATATTTTATAATTAAAGTAGCAATAAATACGGGAAGAACCACCTTAAAAACATGCTTATTCTCAAACTGCATAAAAAGCACAGAAGGAATATTCAAAAATACTCTACACAATTCTACTCCCTCCAATTATTTTGATAAAGTTTTACACACAAGAAAATCTGGAATATGGCATAAGCTAGTTTTCATATGTTTACAGTTAAATGAGATGGCACACACACAAAAAAAGATCAAGCAGTCCTTGAAATTCATAGACAATGTATCTATCCCAACAAAATGAAACATCACAATTGACATAATACAATACATAAAACTGGTATTCCCAATGGGATAAAATATAAGCATCTCAGAATTCTAAAGCCATGATACAAAGAGTTACTACTTATCCAAATGCAAATGCAACTTAATCCTGAAATCCATGTTTACCTATTATTTATTATTTGAATTTACAAATATTGACACACACAGTAGCTCAAACGCTCCTGGAAAATGCAATAAAGAAAAATTCCACATGGATTTTGAATGTTTTTGCATCAAAATTAAATTATTTTAAACTACATTTTCAATAAACATTTTCAGTATCCACATACCTATAGGATTAATATTACCTACAAAACCATACACTGAGACATTCAGAATTTTCTCATTACAAATTTTTGAAATATATTTAATGAATATAAAATAATGACCAAGGAGCTACTTAGTTACTATCTACTAACATATTTAATGGCAATAACATAACAAGGAAAAATGACTCATCCATGTAACTTCTATGGATTTTTTATTAACCATTCGGAAGGAAATTCAGACTTGAGAAGGGAAAGTAAAAGTGCACACCCACTCTCCCTGAGGATCTCTCCCAAGCAGCAGTGTATCCAGGACTGCTCTAGGCACTATACAATTTCAGCATTTCCTAATTCCTTTTAAAGGATTCTGAAAACTACAATTAACAATATGACTTCATAACACAATTTCAATCAAAGTTCAAACTCCATATATCTCTAGAAATAGGAGGAAGGGGAATATCTTAACACATCACATCACTTATGCTCGAGTAAGAATTCTCCAAAAGTCTCTTATTTCCCATTAAATGCTCCAATAGTGTAATCACAGATACTATCCTTAACTGTACTAAGTTCCAACTGGGTGGAGAGGAGATCCCCTGCTGGTCATGTGCAGAATTGCAAAGAGTATCAGGGTAATTTCACACTATGATTGTTTCTTTTAAAATCTGTATTTCCATTGCATATAAAGATGCTTCTCAGTAAACATTCCAGTAGATAAAATTATGAAAGATTATCTTTCAACAAAGTATCCTCTACATAATGACATTATTATTACACTTAAAGAGTCATATTTGGGTTTCAATTATTCACCACATCAAAAATAATTATTTCAGGATGGATGTTTAGGAATACTTGGCACATATACATCCCATATCAAATCACCTGGTTAAAACCCTGGCTACTCTGCTTCCAGTGCAGCTTCTTGCTAATGCTCATCCAAGAAGCAGCAGATAATGGTTCCAGTATCTGGGTCCCTAACAACTGTTACTGGGATCCTTGCTTAAGCCTGGCCCAGGAGTGAATCAGCAGATAGAAACTCTAGTGTTAAACAAAAATTTAAGTAATATCAAAACAAAAATTTTAAACTCCCTCTACTATGCAAAGATATACATATTTACAATGACTACACAGTATGTCAGTATCCTTTAATATAAATTATAAAAATTTAATCTGTAAAATAGAGATACAGCTAAATGTGAATTCAAGTTGCTAATGCTGATAATTTACCAAACCAGAAATAAAATGAAGTGCTGAATATCATAAACTAATAATGGCCTAAAACAGTAAAAATATATGAAGCAATAACTGTCAGAACAAGTTTAGCTAAAGGAAATGTAAACATGAATGATTTATATATAACATTAAATGGAAAGTTAAACATGTAATACCACTTAAATATGCAATTAACAAATAATAAAATATATCATCAATATGTCAACATTTTACAACAAATGTTCCTGACTTAACATCTCAATAGAAATTTTAATAAATGTAGAATCATAAAACATCATAAAACTTCGTTTTCAACAAAAATTAGTGATGCATTAACATTTGCAATTTTAAAAAGTTAAAAATATAAAAACTATATACTAACTTCAAATAAAATGAAAACATAATAGTAAAAAAAATCATTTTTATGTCACTGCCATTTTAAGACATATTAAACATAGCTAACTTATTAAAGATCTACCCCTCCCTTAAAAACACAAATAATCATCCTCCCTTTCGCTGAGACAGAAGATTGGATCTCCACTCATTCTCAAAAACAATCTCAACCACCACCATCTCTTCAATCAGGAAAAGAATGAGTTTTTCCTTCAACAAAGAACTTCAATGAAGAGCCTAAAGTCCATGATCATTTTATATTTACCTACTCACTTCAACATCCAAAACCTAGTTTCTGTTTTAAGTTTTCACTGCAAAGAAAGACAACTATGGGAAAACTGATATTTTTTCAATTATAGAGGGAAATGAGGAAGTATTATTTCTTGCTTTTCTTCCCAAACCAGTAATTTAGGAAAGCAAAATTATAAATACCAAACACTGAATTTTCCACCACTCAGAATTTTCAAAGCATGAACACTGCCATAATGTCATCTATTTTTTTAGTGTCATCTATTTTTAATAAATGAGATCACGGTCCACGGACTTGGAACCTTGCCACCCACATCAGTGTACCAGATGGAGTTCCATCCAGGCTCCTGACTTCAGCCTCACCCAGCCCAGGCAGTTGGAATCATTACAGGAATGAACCAATGAATGGGAGATAAATCTCCTACCTTCCCTTCTCGAACTCTTTTAATTAAATCTTCTAAAAATCATCCTGAATATTACAGCAAGAATACTTATAACTGCACACACACACACACACACACACACACACACACCTCAAAAACTGGCTAAAATTTTCACAGAGTTGGCAGTGGCACTGCAAGCTAATCCTCCTGTGGCTCCAGCACTCCGTATGCACACCAGTTTAAGTTCCACCTGCTTAATTTCTACTCCAGTTTTCTGCTTATGTCCTGGAGAAGCAGTGAAGAACGACCTCAAGTCCTTAGGCCCGGAACCCATGTGGAGGTCTGGAAAAAGTTCCTAGCTTCCACCACTGAATCACTTATATACAAGCCATTATATATAAACTCTAGCCTTTGCAAACATTTGGGGAGTGATTTAATGAATAGAAGTTTTCTTCCTCTCTCACTGTGCAACTATTTATCTTTTTTTCTAATAAAATAAATCACTTTTTAAATTGAATTGCTATTTCTTAAAGAAATAGATATGATCAATGAGTAATAAGCACATTAAAATGCTGAGTATCATTCACTATGAAAATAAAGAGCAAAACCAGTGAATTAGCATACCACAACTGCTGAATTGGCTAAAATACAAAGACAGTAACAAGTAAAGATGTGGGAAAAATAAGAAGCCTCATTTATCACTGCTAGGATAAAAAAAAAAAAATGTTTGATCCACTAGAAAAGTCATTTTTAAAAAAATATTGAAAATAAAGCTAATGTCCAAATCATTTCAAAGAGGAATAAATGTAAACCTGTACACAGGCAGGTTACTAGTAATATCAGAGGAAAAAATCCCGAAATCCATCAACAACTAATTGGATTAACAAAGCAAAACATTATAATTCAGGCATTTAAAAAAAGTGGCCTGTCACAGTAGCTCAGTAGCTAAAGTACTTGCATGCACCGGGATCCCACATGGGCGCCAATTCTAATCCCAGTGGCCATACTACACATCCAGCTCCCTGCCTGTGGCCTGGGAAAGCAGCTGAAAACAGCCCAAAGCTTTGGGACTTTGCACCCACGGGGGAGACCTGGAAGAAGTTTCTGGCTCCTGGATTTGGATCAGTGCAGTTCCAGCAGTTGCAATCACTTGGGGAAAGAATCATCAGATGGGAAACGTTCCTCTCTGCCTCTCCTCATCTCTATATATCTGACTTTCCAATAAAAAAAAAAATAAGTATAGCTTACATGGTAAAAAATAATTTATGATTTGAACATTTATAACAAATGTGATAGGAAAACTAAGCTGGAACGTCAAGTAGGTAAAACATAGCCCTGACAAAGAATTCCATTTTTGTCATTAATGAAACTATCACAAAATCAAACTTTACATACCATCAACTCAAAGTTTGTGGCAATCTTTTGCTATCCATAAGTATTTATTATGTAGGTTTTTAATTTTTTTTCATTGTATCTGGAAGGCAGAGACACAGAGAGACATATTACATTTTTCCAGGTCAGGCCCCAAACTGCAACTGGCAATAATGGCTGGGCCAGACCAAAGCCTAGAATTCCATCTGGGTCTCTCATGGTAGGGACAAGAGCCATAACCTTCTGCCTCCCAGGGTCATTAGTAGGAAGCTGGATTGGAAGAAAGTAGTCAATACTCAAACCAGGTACCCCAGTGTAACATGAGGACATCCCACACAGCAACTTAACTGCTCTGCGCGGACATGTATATATACACATACACACACAGAGTTTTCTTAAGTTTTGCTTCCTGGCCCACAAACACTAACATGCTTACTAAATATTCATTTACACAACTGCCACCCCCAAGAGTGAACAATATTCTAAATAATAATTAATGATTTCCTACACATATCATTCCTATTCTGCCCAACACCTTACTTCCTGGAACAGTTAATTTAAAAAGCTACATCAAAGTGACCAAAACATAAAAGACAACAAAATGGCATGTGCAGCAAAAGTCCTTTTCTTGAAACATGATTATACTGGGATTGTGCCCAACTTATAGAATACACTAAAAATTAAATGAGATTTAACATGTTGACAAATGAAGTTGGTGAACAACTATTTCGGTGACCGTTCTATGAGTAAGGATGGTGACTCTGCTGTGCTGCCCAACTTTTTTTTGGTCTGACTCCTTGAGGATAGTGCCTTTATCTTCTATGCTAAATGTGTTAAATGTCTTCAACAGAGAAAAAACTAACTTTAACACATCAATGAATTCTATATAATCCCTTTCTCTGAAAGAGCTAAAATTAGATTTGCTTCAAGAAATCAAGACAAATACTAATATGATATTCAAATTTTGACCGCAGAACAGAATTTGATTATTCTGTCTCTGATTAGCAAAAATACTTTTTACTCAATATTTGAGTTTATCATTGTGTAAACTTTGTGCTGGAATGTACTGCTTATCTAAAAAAGAAAAACTGGAGTAGCTGGATGGAACGTTCAATAACTCCCTTTACATTACTACTACATAACAAAAGACACAGACTTTTGGGCCAAGAAATTAATATAAGTTAGAGGAACTTGACTTTTCAAATGTTTGTTACGGCCTGGTGCAAGTAGCCTAGCAGCTAAAGTCCTCGCCTTGTATGTGCCACACCCCAGATGGGTGCCAGTTCTAATCTTGACGGCCCTGCTTCCTATCAAGCTCCCTGCTTGTGGCCTAGGAAAGCAGTCAAGCATGACCCAAAGCCTTGACCCAGCACTCACATGGAAGATCCAGAAGAGGCTCCTGATCAGCATAGCACCAGCCTTTGCAACCACTTGGGGAGTGATTCAACAGATGGAAGATCTTCCTTTCTGTCTCTCCTCTCTCTATATACATGATTTGCCAATAAAAGTAAAATAAATTTTTCTAAGTTTGTTAAATATATATATAAAAAAGATTTGATTTATTTGAAAAGCATTCAGAGACAGAAGAGGCAGAGAAGAAGAGAACTCATCATGGGTTTATTCTCCAAGTGGCCCCAATGGCCTGGTTGGGTCAGACAGAAGCCAGGAAGTAGAGTCTAGCCAGGCCTCTCACACGAGTGGCATGGGTCCAAGCACTTGAGCCATACTCCAATGTTGTCCAAGGTACACTAGTTGGGGACGGATTAGAAGTGGAACATCCTAGACTTGAACTGGTATTTATATGATATTACTTACACAACATTTTCTAATAAAACAATTCATCTCAAATAAATATTCCCTTCAAAATCACGAGTGCTTTGTAGCATCCATATGGAATCATACTTTTTCATAATTACAAAAAAATTGACAAAAATCCTCAAAAGTTATACTTACTATAAGCTTATATTTACCTACTAATCTCAAACAATTAAAGAAGTCTTTTTTTAAAAAAAAAAGTAGATGTATATTTTCTTAATTATATTAGAATAATAAATCTTGAATTTTAATTAAATCATAGTTCAAAATACCATATCTATGAAATTATACCTCCCAGGAGAACAAGCTTACTTGATGCTCCCAAGGAGAAAAAGAATAAAGACAACAATTGCTTTCCTTACCTTAAGGTAGCAGTGCACATAGCAATAATGAAGCAGATTATCAGATGGCTGAGTAAGGCTGCTCACCACATGCACCAGCTGTTCTGCATACATTGGCACAGAATGTTCCAGATTAATTTTATCCACAAGTATCTGAATGGAAGGCAAAGGCCGAAGGGGCTGGAAGTTTGCAGTATTCATGAAGTTACTTGAGGTCTGGAAAAACAGTATTTCATTAGTTCAGGAACACAACAGTAAATATGCAGCTCCCTCTACCAAAGTTTCACATAAACATAATGCAGTGACATCAAAAGCATCTAGAAAAGACGCCTTTGCACACAGCTCCCACTAAAACCAATTACAGATGTCTATTTATCAATATGCTGCAGATTTCAAGTGATGTGTATATACTGCAAAATTAACACTGTCTTAACAAGTGTTTTTTATTTTGTAATGGAAGTATTTTTTTCATTGTAAAATCATTCAAAAAACTTTTAGATATAGAGCCAGTCATCTTTATTTTTCTTTCCCTTTATTCACATTAGCAAACAAAAAAGTGGGCTAAACTACAATGTGACATGTTCACAGTAAGCAATATTTACAGGGGAAAGAAAATTTCCTGTTCCATATCCTATTTCCTATATACAAACGTTAGAGGCTCACAAACTCTTAAGAATCCTAAAGAGAACTTGGTATTCTCAGTGATATGGAACCTTTCTGAGCTTTCAATAAAGAGGCATTTCAAGATGTCCAGAGATTATACGATTAGCAAGTGCTCCTTTCCTTTTTTCCCTAATGCCCTTAAAATTCCAAACCTATATTACTGAAAGAGGAGACTATGAATTCCCAGCTAGAAGAATGTGAAAACACATCACAACAGCAAATTTGTGGTTCTGCTTTCTTTTTCAGTGTCACAATATTAGCATTTAGTATACATCGGCGCACACATTTTGTGGATTCAAAAAAAAAAGAAGTACAAAACTTTTAAATATGTTAAAGAGGAATGTAACTATAAATCCTATGGACAATAAAAAATTTTAATTTCTATGAAAAATTCATCTCCACAGATTTGATCATATTAATGAAACAGAACAGTTTCTTAAAGGATACAAGCTGATGCCCTAGGGTACAGCGATGACTTTTAGATATAATTTAAAAGATAGATTTTATGAAATAAATAATTGTTACACTGGCATTCATTATAATTACAGCTTGCTTCTCTGTGAAGCATACAGACAGTATGAGAAGACAAGCCAGGAACTAGCAGAAACATGTTTACAAAAGACATATCTGATAAAAGGCTATAATCCAAAGCATACAAAGAACTCAAAGTCATTGAGATAACAAATAACCCTATTGAAAAGTGACTGAAAAATCTGAGGACAATCCTCAGCAAAGTAGATAAACAGATGGCAAATGTGCCTACAGAAGATGCTCCTTATCTGCATAATCAGGGAAAATCTAAATGAGACATTAATGTAAGCTTTTTAGAATGGATACTTCTGAAACATAGACAGACAACACCAAACACTGGAAGGGATGGACAGCAGCAGGAACACTCATTCATTGCTGGACAGAATGTGAAATTGTATAATCACATTAGAGGATAGTTTTATCTCTTCTTACAGAACAAAATACACTCTTAGCTTACAATCTAGCAGTTGTATTCTTAGTATTTTACACAAAAGGGTAGAAGACATATATGTACACTGAACCCGGACACAGATGTTTATAGCAAAATTATTCCAAAATATCAAAAAGTGCAAGCATGTTCTTAAGCAGGTGAACAAATAATTCTGATACACCCTTACAATGGAACATTATTGAGCACTAACAAGAAATGAGCTGGAGATCCAAAAAGGCCGAAAAGGAGACTGTCACACAAAATTAGGCATAGGCTCTGCAATATGGAAAGAACGAAGGAAGGATTGCATTTCTAGTACAGTGACAGAAACGTTCTGTGAAGAATTTTTTAAATGAACTTAAGATTACTAAACAAGAAACAAATGCATGAATTAAATCTATACGCAACTTGAGAACATTTCAGACAAGATTGAGATTCTGCTCTCTAACTGAAGTATCAGAAAGGAAGAATTCAAAATGCCAAATAAAAAATACAGAGGAAAGCCTTAACAATGGACTTGGGAAAGCAGAACAAATCATCTCTAAAGGAGAAGACAAATCATGGAAAAATTTCAGTCATTTTTTCAGAAAAAAATCAAGACATGGAAAAAGCCAGAAATATTGCCCAAGATTTATGAGATAACATCAAACAACCTAACATGCATTTGTTAGGAACTCCTGAAATCATGGAAGGAAAAAAATGGATTAGAAGGCCTGCTCAGCTAAGTCATAATTGAAAACTTCTCCAATATGGAGAAAAAAGCAGTATCCACATACAGGAAACAAAGAATTGTAAATAAGCTAGAATATACCTTCACCAGCACACATTACAGTCAGACGTTACACAGTGAAACAACTGGAAGATTCTAAAACATGTATGACATGAAAGATCACCTTGAGAAGGGACCACAGCGCCCAACCAGCAAGCATGAGAACAAGGGGGCAGTGCCGGCAGAGGAATAAGGGGTGGTTCCTTTGCTGGACAGCTACTCCCACTGGAGAGCATGCGCTGGGATGGGGGCAAATCAGACTAGGCAGGGCTACAACACCTGTATGCCTCATGTGGACTAGATCAGGGAGAAGCCAGGCTGGGCTGATTATTCCTATCGATGCAAACAAAATTAGAGTGGGTGAGGGTTGTTTGGGCTTAGCCACAGCATCAGCGGCAAGAAGCTGGCACCGGGGCTAGTTCTGTCAAGTCAAACCACAGAACTACCTGGAGAGTGCATAATCTGGGAGTCAGAGAGGCCTGGGAGGGAAACAGTGGGCTCCTCCCTCTTGGATTACCACTTCCATGGGAGGGCATAAAACTAGGACAGCGGCTGGGGTGGAATGGGATGTGGGACAGACTGGACTACTGCTACACATACTGGCTAACCAGGGTAGGGGGCGGGCCTGGTGGGGGTTATTGCAGGTTGCTTCAACTAGGGTGCAGCTCCCACTGGTTTATGCGAGGGTCGAGTATGTGCTGGGCAGAACTAGGCTGGACTGCAACACCCAGTGGTTCCAGTGGAAGTTGGGGCTAAAAACAGAACCAATCCAGCAATTGCAACCACCAGCTAACCAAGAAAAGAGAGAAGACAGAACAGGTCAACCAACCAACTCAGCTATATGTTGGCAGTGAAATACGGAGCAGAGACTCTATGATGGACTGTGTCAATCAGTGGATTCTTCAAAGACCTCATAGTGCTTGGAGTGGCAAGATTGGCAGCGATTCATAACTTCTGAAATATCAAACCACCTGAGCAAGAACCTCAGAGCATACCCTACATCCAGGACCTGGGGAGAGTGGGAAATTGGGTGGGCCTCCTCCCTTAATACCCCCCTTTAAACATGAAGGAAACAATACGGAAAAAAAACTAGTCTTACCCACTTTCCTGTAGCCCTTGAACCTCTTTACCCTAATTAACTATGTAAAGTTGTCAAAATATAATAATAAAAAAAAAGAACTGATTTCTCATCAGAAATCTTACAGACTAGGAGAAATTTGACACAGTCTGGTCCAAAAGGAAACCGCCAGGCCAGAATACTATTCCCAGTAATGTTATCATTTATACAAAAAAGCAAAATAAAGATGTTCTAAAGTAAACAAAAATTCAAAGAATTTGCCACTATATGCCCAGGACTAAAAATGATGCTTAGGGCCCGGCGTGATGCGCAGTGGTTAAGGTCCTCGCCTTGCACGCCCAGGATCCCATATGGGTGCCAGTTCTAATCCCGGCAGCCCTGCTTCCCATGCAGCTCCCTGCCTGTGGCCCGGGAAAGCAGTCAAGGACGGCCCAAAGCTTTGGGACCCTGCACCCGCGTGGGAGACCCTGAAGAGGCTCCTGGCTTCGGACTGGCATAGCATCGGCAGTTGCGCTCACTTGGAGTGAATCATCAGATGGAAGATCTTCCTCTCTGTCTCTCCTCTCTGTATATCCGCCTTTCCAATAAGAAAATAAAATAAATCTTTAAAAAAAATGATGCTTAAAGATGTACTATACACAAGAGAATTAAAACTGCCATAATGAAAGAAAGTGAAGTTAGACTCTTTCCTAGTAAAGGTATAAAGGAATTCCAAAGCAAACAATGAAAATATCATCATGCAGACATCAAAAGAAATTTCACCATACAGATGTAAAGTAACAAATAAAGACCAAATGTGTAAGCTAAACTAAGGAAGCAATGTGTTATTAAGAACTTTAAACAATTAAGCATTCAATAAATCCTCATTAACCAGCAACAATGATAATCTGCTTTCTAATATGTGCAAAATAGTAGACACACATTATCCCAATCAATTTGCAAAACAGTCCCACAAACACTGGTCTGTGCCACCATCCCAACAATCCTACACAGATCCATGCCACACAGGCAAGGCTGGTCCACAGCCGACTCAAGGCTTGATAGGATGTACACTGATATACTATAACAAGGAATCTTGTAAGGGCCTGTTAAGCCATTATTTCTCAAGTACCTTCCAATCTTGAAGGAGGCCATTCTAATATAATTTCTCATCATCATCATCTCATTCAAATGATGAGGTTTCTGATAAATACCACTTACAAAATACCACCTTGTCAAATCATTGCCACAGTGTGGAACTACATCACTGCCAATGAGACACCCTCTCATGAATCTTGCTAGTCAAACTGGCTGTTTTTCCTTCTGCTAAGTAATAAAACAGATAGTTTTATTAGTCTTTCTGTGTTTATACTCTTTCTGTATTTAACATTTCTCTCCTGATTTAACCAGTAAAATCTATAAGCTTGCTTGAAAACTACTATTCTTTTGTTTTTCAGAGAAGAAAAAATTTAGAGAGATAAAGCAATTGTCTAAGCTCTTATACTTAAAGTATGGGTTTGTTAGAGGTCAGGCCATAAATTAACACTTGTGTACACATCTTCAGCTTAAGTTCACTTTACAACATGCATAAATTTAAATTTATTTTCTAAAAATTAACCAATATTATATTGCTTTTACTTCATGAAGGATAACCATCGGAACAGTCTTATTTGATGACCAAAGACATGCATACGTGAGAGGGAACAAAAGCAGAGCATCACAAAATGCTACCTTTTCTCCCATTATGACAGGTAGTAAGTGGTCCAACAAGTTGAATTCAGCCATGAAAATTGTGCAGGTACATTTCAGGAGAGTAATACTTGTATGTCGAGTAGGAATATATTCCTCTAGAGAAGCCACTTCTTCAAGACTCAGTATTGTTTCACTTTCATCCTTAGTACCTAAAATTAAAATGGTGGAAATTTTACAAAGATTAAATACTTTTCTTACACATGAAATAATGAATTAATCTGTTTCCAAATTTTACAGTCAAATTCTGTTTGTTTTTTCAACAATGAAGATTTAGAAAAAATTCACCCTTACCAGATACAAATACTACTCTACAATGTAAATGTGTAAACACTGTCATATAAAAACTTAATAGTTCATTTTAAAACATCTTAAAGAGGAACAGTTTCTGACCATCAAAATATGAATGAAAGAACATAAAACCAAGACAGATGAGAAGAAAGTACTTGCCACTGACAGCCAGCTAAATATACAAGGATGTATATGACCACATCGTAATTAAAATTTAAAAAGAACGCCTAAAAAATCGCTGAGACACACCAAAAACTCAACTAATGAGCCAAAGCAGAATAAGCAAGAATCAATATATCTAAACAGACAAAAGCTGATCAACATTTTCAGGTATCAAACGCAAAATAAAATCTCAAATCTGATAGCATTATATACGCCTCAAATGGTTAAAATGAAAGATTAACATGCACTGATAAGCATATTCAGACAAATATCAGGAAATTTCTTGTCAAGTTAGGTGTAGCCGGTAAAGCTCTAGCCACATGGATGCCACTTTGTGCCCCAGCTGCTCCACTTCTGACTCAGATCAGTGGAAGAAAGGCTAAGAGCTTGAGTTTCCAGCCAATGTGGCCATCCAGGGAGTGAGCAATACATGAAAAAAATCTTACTCTTTCCCTCCTTCTCTTTTTGTAGCTCTTTCATTTACAAAAGAAAATGGAGACAAAATTTACCAAAAAATTATTATTTCAAGGTGCTGGTATTTTCGTATAGCATGGTTCTGGCTCTTCTGCTGATCCAGTTCCTTGTCAACAGCCTGGGAAAAGCAGTGTTTGAGAACCTGTCACCACTACGAGAGGCTCCTTGCCTCAGGCCTTTCTCCGCCTCTACAGTCACCTGTACTAAATCACCAGATAAGATGTCTCTTTTTCTTTTCCTCTTTCTGTATCTTCATTTAACTCTTTCAAACAAATCTTTGAGAAAACCGTTATGTAGAACGAATTTTAGGTGGGCTGTAGTCTAACAACAATTACTCAGATCACCACTGTGGCACAAAAACAGCCACTGCCAATAAATATAATCAAATAAACATGACTATGTTCAAATGTCCAGTTAATAACTTTAGAGCCCATGTTCATAACCAGCTGCTCAGAAATGTCTCATTTGAAAAAACATATTTCCTAAGTATACTCAAGAAAAAGTATTTAAAACATGTGACAGTGAAATATTAGCAAAGATTGGCAAAGTACTTAGGTAAACAAATGCAAAAATCCTGATTTCCCCTGTAACTTCTATATACAGATACATTAACAATGACATAAATAAGGTAAAATATAAACTCAGCAAAATAAGACAAACTGAATTGTGTAATCAAGCCAAAAACAAACCTGGTTTTTGCTGGCTATATGGCTCATATTCGTGTTCCAAGGCACAAACAATCATTTTCAAAATCCTATGCACTGCACTGCTATCCAATCGGAAGTCAAGGGGACCTATAACAAGGCTTTTAGTGGACTTTTCTTGGACCACTCCCACATCTTCACCTTTCCCTAAAGTAAAATCTTGCTGATTTGTACAACCTACAAGAAATCAAATTCCATATAATTTAAGCATCAACACGATATAAAGTATGCAGACAATATTATTTTTATCTGGTTAGCCTCATGCCTTAAAATCATTCCTCTATCAGCAAGTTACAAAGAAATCTGATTTGTATTTTTTTTTCTATGCAGATAAAATATTAATGACAGGGGCCAGAACAGCGGCTCAATTAGATAATCCTTCTCTCTGCTACAGCAAGTGCCAGAATCTGACATGATTGCCGATTTATGTCTCAGCTGCTCCACTTCCCATCCAGCTCGTTGCCTGTAGCCTGGGAAAGCAAGGGAAATGCTCCAAAGTCGTGCACACCTGCACCCATGTGAAAGACCCAGAGGGAGCTCCTGGTTCCTGGCTTTAGATCAGTTCAACTCTAGCCATTGTGGACATTTGGGTAGTAAACTAGTGGGTAAAAAGATCGTCTCTTCTCTATGTAAATCAGCCTTCCCAATCAAAATAAATTTTTAAAAAAAGAAAAAGATATTCCTGACAACAAAAGCAACTGATTCAAAACTAATTATCGGGCCTGGTGGCATGGCCTAACAGCTAGGGTCCTCTTCTTGAACACACCAGGATCCCATATGGGCGCCGGTTCTAATCCCAACAGTCCCACTTCCTATCCAGCTCCCTGCTTGTGGCCTGGGAAAGCAGTCAAGGACGGCCCAAAGCCTTGGGAACCTGCACCCACGTGGAATACCCGGAAGAGGCTCCTGGATCCTGGCTTCAGATCAGCACAGCACCAGCCATTGCAGTTACTTGGGGAGTGAATCATCTTCCTCTCTGTCTCTCCTCCTCTCTGCATATCTGACTTTCCAATGAAAACAAAACAAACCTTAAAACAGGAATAAAGATAACTGAATAATTCTAATGTGACAGTATTTAAAAAAAACAAATTATCCATTATCTATTTTAAAAGAAGATAACAAATATTATAAAATCAAAAACTCATTCTTAGAAAATTATTCTATAAAACCTAATTAGCATATCTCCAATTAGTTACACAAAGTGTACTAACTACCACATTGACTGGGAAGGGGGATTTTAGAATTGCATTATATCACTAATATCTATTTTAGAAGTTTCACTGAAAATAAGATCTTTTAAATTACATATTGACAGGATAACTATGTTCAAATCCCCCCCAAAATAAGTATGTAATCTTCATCAATTTACTTAACCTTTACAAGACTAGCTACTTCCTTATCAGTAAAATGAACATAATGTTACACACCTTAGAGTTTTTATAGCTTATTATATAAGCTAATCCATACAAAACATTTAGAATAAAGCCTTGCATTTAAAGTCAATAAATTTAAAATTAACATCATCACCACAATAGAAGCAAATACAGATTCACACTGATAAGTACAAACATACAAATACAGGAACCTAAAACCAATAAATAAATGAACAGATAATTCAAAGATTAAATGAAAAGACTGTTACAATGAGACACTGGCTAATTAAATTAAAATAATTTTTAAAATCCAGGGCCTAGCACAATAGCTCCTCTGGCTAATCCTCTACCTCCAAATACCAGGCTCCCATATGGGCACCAGTTCATGTCTGGGCCTCTCTTCTTCCCATCCTATTCCCTGCTTGTGACCTAGGAAGCAGCAAAGGATGGCTCAAAACTTTGGGACCCAGCACCCATGTGGGAGACTAGGAAGAAGCTCCTGGCTCCTGGCTTCAGATCAGCTCAGCTCTGGCCATTGCATCCATTTAACCATTTCCACCTGCAGTGCAGGCATCCTGTTGGGCATCAGTTCATATCCTAGCTGCTCCAATTCCCATCCAGCTCCCCGTTTCTGGGGATAATCCAAAGCCTTGGGACGATGCACCCATAGGGGAAACCTGGAAGAAGCTGCTTGCTCACAACTTCAGATCAGCTCAGCTCTGGCTACTATAGCCATTTGGAGGGTAAGGTGGGGGGGTGCAATGGTTGTCACTACCCATCAGGTAACTCTAGAACACAAGCCCATGAGCTTCATAAATTTTGTTTCAAACAATCAATGCAAAGCATGTAAGTAATTTTAGCTAGGGATTAAACCAATGTAATTGCAATAGGGCAACAGGCAGGCTAGAGTGGAAACAGCTTGGTAACAAACAGAATTCAGAGATGATGGTAGACCGGATGAGAGATAAGAGTGATACTGACAAGAAGCAGATAGACTGAAGACAAATCTAGGAGGTTAAATTTGGCAAAATGAGGAAACAAATTAGATGCTAGGAGAGAATAAAGGACTAAGACATGAATATGTCCAGGATTCCGGTTTGAGAAATTAGAACATGGCAACACAAATGTCCAAGGAGAGAATGAGAATAAAGGAGAGACAAGTAGCAGGAGCAATGAAGATATTCATAATTCAATTTTAGATATGAGTTTTTGGAGTTTATTGTTTTGATTTCAGGTTATTTACTGATTTGAAAAGCAGGTAAGAAAGGAACATGAGACAGGGAGGGGAGAAAATCTTTCTTCTACAAGTTTACTACTCAAAAGGCTGCAACAGCTAGCCAGTCTGGGACAGGCTGAAGCCAGAAGCCAGGAACTCCTTTTGTGCCACCCACACAGACAGCAGAGGCCCAAACACTTGGGAAATCTTCTGTTTCTTTCTCAGGCGCATCAGCAAGGAGTTAATGGTTGGAAATAAAACAGTGGGGAGCCAAACCAGCACCTATATGCAATTTGAGCACTGGGTCAGAGGCTTGATTCAGTATGCCATAATGCCAATGCCTATATTCAATTGTGAGACACAGAAGTGAATGTCAAATTTACACTGGATATTTAATTCTGAAAAATTGAGTCTGGACTGGAAAGATAAATACAGTTATCAATAACATACAGAATGTGCTTAAATTCATGGAAAACAATTAGATTATTAGAAGAGAGCTTAGTGCAAGTAGTCTCAGAGAAGACCAATGAGAAGAACATTCAGAAACCACAACAAAAAGTAAGGGCAGAATTCTTTGTGTATCACACAAAGTTCCTACGAGTTCACCTTGGGGAAGTCTCCAACTTCTCAGGCAAAAGTTAATACTTTCTCCTTTGAACTTCTTCTAGCTTAATATTTATACTACTGGTCTTAATGTGCTATATTGTAAGGATCTATTTAAATATTTACTTTGACAATATCAACTGGTTCTTGATAAATGATTTGGTCGTCTTTGCACACATAGCAGCCAACAAATCACCCAGAAACCATTTTCAAAGCTAGGAAACATTAACCCAATAAATAAATCTATTTTCAATAACTTCTAAATATGAAAGACCAAAATAAGTATAATGTCATAATGTTTACCTAAATAAAATATCTAATAAAATATTAAGTAACTCAAAGAAATGATTTGCTTTATAATATAAAATAAGTATATACACATAAATTCTATGTATTATAATCTCTGCAAAAATTCATTTCTAGTGTTTGGCTTGAAACAAAATAATTAACATAACCTTTAAACTATATTAAACATGGAAAAGAAAATCTGACAACTTTAAATACAAAATTTGATGTATAATTTTTAAAATTTGGTACAACTGATTTAATTTGATTACGCACAGTGTCTCTTGCAATCGGCTACACAAAGAAAAAAATTTAAATGCCAAGAATCCAAATAAATCCTAATAGGACACTAAAATTATATAATTCCTCAAAGCAGTAGGAGATAAATCTCACTAAGTCCAATTGGTCAAGGATCAATTGATTCTAAAATGTCTTGGCTTCTGTTACTCAAGGAAGGCAAACAAAGACATCAATACCTTTGCCACTGGTGTTTTCCATTGTATACAGGTAATCCATGTAAAAAGCCCCAAATCTTTGCATTCCGGCTATCTCTGTGTATGTCTCCTGCCAACGAAGCAATGTAAACACAGCACACAGTTTAAGAGAAATTGAGTTTAAAAACTGATAGATCAGATAAACATCCTTATATGTAATGTGTATCCACTCAAAGAACTGCCAAAACATTAAAGAGCTATGTAAGGATGTAGTCCTAAGAAAAGTGATGTTACTCCAATTACAGAGCACACATGGATATCCAGAATTATACTAGCCATTTTGGCTACTTTGACAATAACATCTAGTTAATGCCCTTAATGGATTAGAGAGTAAACTCCTGACCTTGACCACTATCACAGTGATAACAGCGTATACTCTAACAAAGTTTAATAATGTGTACTCTCAGTGACAGCCCTTAAACATCTCAAGAAACTTACATGGAACAATTCAAGCAGTAAGGTAAACTAAAATATGGTACATAAATGCTGAACTATGCAGTTCAGTATTAGATCAAACTGTTAAAGTAAAGCTGAATGAAACAATTGTTTATTCTATTGCATTCATCTTCAGGTAGCTTTTGTAACACATCTACTCCATGAACATATCAATATCCCTTAAAGACATCACTATAATCATACATGAAAAATTCAAACAATGAAAAGTAAACCTAGTAAAAGATGAGATTCCTCATTTCTTTCCCCTAACCTGAAAATTCAAACATACTAAAAAAAAATAAAGCCACAAAAAATTCTAAATGTTTCCTTTCTTCAATGAGTGTGTAGGCAACAGAGAACTTAAACCCAAAACAGCACTAAAGATCTCAGTGTACTTTTCAAACCTTTCTAGACACAGAAGCTAGGACAAAATATTTTAAATGTATCAGTGTGTAATTAGTATTTACAAGCTGCTAAATAGCATCAATGTCAATCACAAAATTTCACACAATGTATCCACCCAAATACCCTACAACTTGTATATAACACGTTTCTGACCTTGTGATGAGCTGCATCCAAGATAAATTCTGCACGAGTACCATTGTTTTCTGGGCTTCGGTAATCAAATAATGAATTTGTAAGGTATGTCATACCTTTTGTGCTCAAATTTTCACCACAAATGAAAAAACAGGCATCCTAAAAATAAATGCAAACTTATGAAGGCAAAAATCAGCATACTGTAAAAGAAAGCAAGCTTATGGCTATATAACACCCATTCAGTAGTCAACAGAAATTAGAAAACTCTTCAAACTCCATAAAATTGAAGAATATAATCTCCAATTTTATCACTTAACAAACCAAAAAGGTGCTTCAAGTAATTGTTATGAATAAAAAAGAATAAATATTTATGTATTCAAAGATATTTGAAACTTCTGACCAGGTGTTAAATGCTACCAACTTTCTAAACACCCGAGTTCTATTATTTCTTCCAGGGGAAAACAGTAAATCTCCTGAGTCAGAGATGCATATCATCTAGCAACCTTTAATGACTGAACACTTCAATAAGCACTTCAAAAGAAAAGAAATGGACTTACAGTTTCACTTCTATTCACATTCTCTTCAAAATCTTTAACACCCATAATTCCTTTAAGGCACATGGCTCTGCAACCTATAAATCCAATCTGACAGTCAAAGAAAGGTTCTCCCATCATCAGTGCCTGAAAGAGGAAATGAAATATTTAGAACCAAGAACTTGAATTTAACAAAAATGCTATAGAGGACTGGCATTATAGCACAACATGTTAATCTGGCAATGCCAGATTCCCATAAGGGAGTGACAATTCAGCTCCCAGTGGCTTCAATTGCAAGCCAGTTCCTTGCTAATGTGACCAGAAACAGAGTAAGATGACCCAAAACCTTGCGTCCTTGCCACCATGTGAAACATACAGATCAAGTTCTTGGCTCCTGTTTCAGTCCAGCTCAACCCTAGCAGCTGAGGCCATTTGGAGATGGAACTGGCAATGGATGATCCCTTTCTCTGAAGTCTCAACCCTCTGTCACTCTACCTTTCAAATAAATTAATTAATATTGTATATGTTGGGGCCGGCACTATGGCAAATAAGGTAAAGCTGCTGCCTGCAGTACAAGCCTCCCACACGGGCACTGGTTCAAGTCCCAGCTGCTCCACTTCAACCCAGCTCCCTGTAATGATTAGACATTTGAGTTCTATCACCCAAAGGAGAGACCTGGATAAAGCTCCTGGCCTGTGGCTTCAGACTGGCCCACTTCCAGCCACTGCAGCCATTTGCTGAGTAGACCGGAAGATGAAAGAACTCTCTCTCTCTCCATCATTCTCAGACTCTGCCTTTCAAATAAATTTATAAATGTATTTCTTTTAATTTTTAACTCCCATCAGAAACCAGGATGGCATTCCTGTTTCAATGTAGTACCAATATGGCTGCGATAGCCATTTGAGCAGCGTACCTGCAGGTGACACTAGATTTCAATCTCCCTCTCCCCCTCCCGCACTCTCCTCTCCTAACCCATTTCTGCCACTCTCCCTTTCAAATAAGAAAGTTCTAAAAAAGGGGTGGAGGAAATCTTTATCTCTGTGTCCTTATATCTTGGTCCTCAATGACTGACATTACATGAATAATCTACATCCACACAGCCAAACATACAGATGGTAAATGAAAAATTTTAAAAGTTACTGTTGCATACCACAATAAAATCTCTCTTAAAAGAACAATTCATAGAATATGCTGACTATAAACAAAAGCAATCTTGAGTTATAAATTTAGGTATTTTAGCTATGCTACAACAAAAGCCTGAGTTACTAAACATTCAGAATCACTCAAAGAGTTTTTTAAAAAATACATTCAATGCTGAAACGTTACCTCAACCGTAGTTCCTTCTTGCTCCCAACACAAGACTTCCTTAGATTTTACTTTCTGGGGGCTGTAATAACTACTCTCAGCTTGCATTTCAGTGAGCTACGAAACATAAGAATATTAAGTCAGTCAAAATTAGCATTAAATGGCAAAAATCATCATGATTGTGATGAACTGAGGTAAACAAGGCCAATTTTCAGATTCAGGAAATTTAATTATTAAGCAGGAAAACAGGTGCAATAAAAACAGCTGTAACAGATTATCCATGGTATAAAGGTTGAATATGCTAGTGTAAACTTATTTAAATGCTATTTTTTCTAACTCTTCCCTCATAATGTTGCTTTAAAAAGTGAAAGACAAAATAATGGTCATAAAATAGTTCATATTTTCATAAAACAGTTCATTTATTCTGCCAAAATCTACATTTATAATCTAAAGTTGTTCTCTGTTCATTTTATCCAATCTGCTTAAGTTTCAATACGCTATCAAATAGAATTAACAAATGTTTCTCATTCTTATGAAAGAGATAGGATCAAGGATATAAAGTGTAAACATGTTAAAGATTCAATATAAACCTAGTCAATCACACCACAAACACTAAGTCCATGCAAGATAACAAAATAGTTACTGACAAAATAATGGTGCTCCCAAAGTTATTATTTAAAGGCACCACAATAATTTTAACACACTACTTTTAAAAGTATTTTTCTAACTGCTTTGTTATACTAGTTTGGATTATTATACAGAAAAAAGGCAGACAATAACATGCAATTAAATTCTGGGATTTTATATTAATGTGTCAATACTTGCCTCATTTTGACAAAAGTATTAGCAGAGTGTAACAATAGCGAAATCGTTTTGTGAAAGAGGTGTGGAATACTCCTCAGATTAAATGCAAAGTCAAACATACTTTTTCAAAACCAGTATTAAGCTTAGATCAAACAAGTTATGGAACTGAGCAGCTATCATTTAAAACATAATAACCTCTTTATGCTGAAAGTCAACTTCTTTATATTAATCAACTAATTGTAATCTCATTTCTTACATTAGAGAATACTCATCTTTCATTACATAAGCTCTTATGTTTTTAAATGTTTCTAGTACAGCTATATATAATATTGCCGTTTTAAAGTACAATTCCACAATCTACAATCTAACTAAAACTGAATTTTTTAAACTTGATCACCCTTCAGCTGTCTGCCATTATTGCAGAGAAAAGCAATTAATTGATTAAAAGAACTCAAACATTACAAGAACAATTTTAAACATTATTAGAAAAATGTTACATTTAATTTGGCATGATTTTTGTTGGATTGATATCAACTGTTCAAAATGCTAATGTAGAAACATGATCTTTCTGACTAAAATATGAACCACAAATTAATTCCATACATTACTCAAATCTAAACAACAATGATTTCTATTTTCCTCCTAAATATCAACATATTTTCTATACAGAAATCTTTGAGAAAAATTATTCAAAATGTTGGAGACACACACATTAATGACAAGTACTGTGTAAATATCTGTAAAAGTTTACATGAAAATAACTATCCTAATGCAGCTGAATGCAATTCTCATCAACTGCGTTATCAAAAATGTACCAGAATAATTTCTAATTTCAAATTGAGCAGGCAAAAATTGCACCTAGCACTGAATCAGAAAATATTCACTTCACAAAGCAGCCAACACTAAAAAACAATTGTCTTATTCTGATATTAAATTCATAAAACACTTAACAGCAATAGTAGCCTTCTATATCTTTAAATGCTTTAATTTTACAAACCTGTGTTTAATTAAAAATTAAACTCTGAATTCAATTACTTCAAGAATTCACATAAAATGGTGCTAAAGCAAAGCTTAAATGTAAATCTTTATCATTGTTATCCTAACTTAATAACCATAAAAAAAAAAAAACCTTTTAAACCAATTAATGTTCTAACAAACTTCTATTCAAACTTTTTTTTCCTTTGGTTATGTAACAAAATACTAAATGATTTTTAACCAGAAAATTCTTAAAGGGCATTTATTTTAAAACATTTTAACCTGCCACCTGTTGGTAATTATAAACTATATACCTTTACCACCAATTGATGTAAATTTGTTTTGGGCACTTCAAACAACACAAGGTAAATTAAAAGCGCTTATAAGAGCATAAATTTGATAAGGTTACCTCTCCAAAAACTAACAAATTATCTGGAATAAAACCTTTAACAACATTTTAGGTCCTTACTTCCCAAAGGTAAGTGATAGAAAAATAAACCAAAAGGACAAAATTACAGAGGTAATAAAATCTTAAATGACTCCTCAAAGTTTGGAAAATAAAAGCAGATGAAGAGATGGATTGCTGCATAGATAATAAACAGAATGGTATATGGATATATGTCAGAATATGTATCAGAAAATGTACAAGTGCTCCAGACACAAGCAACTTTGTGTTTTGGGGAAAGGCGGATTAAGAGACTGATTTCTCCTTCCATTTGCTGACTCCCCCACATGCTAGTTAGGGCAAGAACTGGAAAGCCAGAAGCTAGGAACACAAACCAGTTTTCGTCCATGTGTGGCAGGAACCCAGCTGCTTGATCCATCCCTGTCCCTTCCACTATGTCATTAGCTGGAAGCTGGAATCAGGTGTAGAAGCCAGGAACTGAACTCTGCGGTCACATGGGAAACAGGTATCTAACTGCTAGGCTAAATGCCTGCCGCAACAAATATTTGTTATCTGACCACCTAATGACTTCTGTGTACACTCAAAACAGAATATCCATAATTTTCCTAGCAAATTATTAAAGTACTCAACTCCTTCCAACTAAATATTTATGTGAGACCAGAAATTACTTGCTATCATCAGCCACATTTCCAGACTACATGCAAAAACAGATAATGAAGATACAGCTGTCTCCTACTAAGCCACACATTACAAAAAAAAAATACAATCCCCATAAGCCAACATTTAAAGATTGAGCAGCAGAAAAACCGCGAACACTACAAAAAGCATTAGATGTGAAATATTTAAATCTGGGCCCGGTGACATGGCCTAGCAGCTAAAGTCCTCGCCTCGAATGTGCCAGGATCCCATATGGCGTTGGTTCTAATCCCGGCTGCTCCACTTCCCATCCAGCTCCCTGCCTGTGGCCTGGGAAAGCAGTCAAGCATGACCCAAAGCTTTGGGCCCCTGCACCCATGTGGGAGACCTGGAGGGAGTTCCTAGCTCCTGGCTCTGGATCGGCACAGCACCGGCCGTTACGGTCACCTGGGGAGTGAATCATCGGACGGAAGATCTTCCTCTCTGTCTCTTCTCCTCTCTGTATATCTGACTTTGTAATAAAAATAAATAAGTCTTTTAAAAATATATTTAAAGGAAAGTAGTCACTCAAATACCAAATACCTATCTACATATATTCAAAGAGAGATCTTCAGAGTTAATAGAAAATATGTATTACAAAATATTTGTGTGTGTATATATATATCTCACAGGCATGGGTTTTTTCAAAATTTGAGATGAAAATAAACTTACATACTTTCAGTTCTTATGAACTCAAGTAACTTTATACATCACTTTTCAAAACAACAAAAATACAGAACAGACTGCACACCCTACCACCTCTCATTCTTAGTCACAAATCTTCCACTCCTCTTATGAACATTTAGATCTTGGATTCTGTCCCACATCACAACTATAATAACTCTAGGTAATTTCATTATTCTCACAGAGGATCATTCCAAAAGTCTGATTTCTCAGTTTCTTAACCTTTGAAATGATTTCGTCCTCTACTTACCTTCACTATTTACCTTTGAGTAAGTAAAGAAAATGGCTAGAAAAAAAAACCATGGTGGCCCTTCAAATTCATGGCTGCTTTTGTCTAATAGATCCCTAGTGACAAGGTGAGCATACACAGTATTTTCTCAGATTTTTATGCCACTGCACCAGCCCTTACTCAGTATTTTCTGAGACCGTTTACTCCTCACTCTCCCCCACCACTCTTGCATCTGATGCCAAATCACTTCCCTCAACCTGATTCAGATTTAAGTGAGCTCCTCAAATACACAAACCATCCAAAGACAACCTCCAGAATCCGATAGCACCTCACCTAGTCTCCCAAGGATCCTTTCATTTCTGCAGATATCTTCCCTATCTGACTTTCAAAACTTGTCTAAAATCCAACACCCATTACCACCTCCACCTGCTACCACCCTCCCTAGTCCAAGACAATCTCTCTTGCTTGAATATTATAATTCTATTTAACTGCTTTATTTCTGTTTTCCTTCTCTATATCCTTAAAACAATAATCAGAGATTCAATTTAAAAAATAGATTTAGAAACATTCTGCTAAAAGTTATCCAAAAATTCCCTATCTTAGTTTAAAAGAAAAAAAGAAAAGACCTACAGTTTGTTGGGTTTTTTTTTAACTAATTGTTTTTTGTTACAATTTAGTTGGCACCGGGCTCTCCCCTCCCACAAGTTTCCTCCCCGCCCCTCTATTCTTCCCTCCAGGTTCACAATGTGCATCTTTTGTGAATTTTCCCAAGTCCATCATGCTGCCACTGGAGTGTCTCCCAAACATGTAGGAGACAGTCATTTTGCTGTGAGTTCATTCTTATATTCTGGTGCCCTACTGCAAAGAACTTCAGTTTTACAACTTGTGAATTGCCCCAGAATCCAAAATCTCTTTGATCTGCTTGCATGCCATTTTCACACAGGCTCACTTTGCACCAATGGCCTCCTTGTTAAAGACTGGAGTTTTGGGGTCCTTATATTTATATTCCTGGAATGCAAACTCACATGTGTCTGCTTCGCTTACATACTCCCTTCACCATAAAGTCCTTCTCTGATCATATATTTTAAACTGCATAACTGTTACCCGTTTACAAAGTGAAAACACTCCCTTCCTTCATTTTTTTCTATATAACCATTACCATCAAAGAATATACATCTTACTTACTTGTTTACAATAACAATTTAAGTTCTAAGATGCAAGAGTTTACATCTGTTCATTGTGGTATCTCTAGAGACAAAATAATGCCAGTATTGTGTCACGACACATAAAGACAACCAGCTGCTACACCAGAATCACATATGAAAACCAGCTAGCATTCCAGGTGTTCCATTTCTGATCCAGCTTCTTGCTAAAGGCCTGAGAAAAAGAAGATGGCTACAATGACTGGACACCTATCATCCACATTGGAGACCAACATGAAGTTGGCCCAACACTGGCCAGTGCAGCCATCTGTGAAGTGAACCAGAGAATGGAAGCATGTGTTCAAACTTATTCTTCAATAATAGATTTTTTTTAAGCTGATGATATTGTTGAAGAACACTCTACTGATGCTAATATTTTTTTAAAAAGCCAGGGAGGGACCAGAACTGTAGCACATCAGGTTAACCTACTGTATGTTTCACCTGGCATCCCACTCAGCACTGGTTAAGTCCCAGCTCTCTATTAATGCAGATGATGGTCCAAGTACTTCTCTCCTGATGCCCGGGTGGAAGACAATGGAATTCCTGCCCCCTTATTTCTTCCTGGCCTAGCCCTGACTGTTGCAGTATTCAGGGAGTAAGTCACCAGACAGGAGAAAGACTGATCCCTTCCCTCCCTTGTCTCATCCTTCTTTTCTCTGTCAATCTTTCAAATAAGCAAATAAATCTTTAAAGACTGAAAGGCCAGTGAACAAATAACCCAGAGTTCATACCATGTTAACTTAAACAAAAAGAGAAGACAAACTTGATTAACAGGAATAGAAGGCATATTAAAAGCACCAGCAATTTTACATTTAAGTGAAAGGGTGTTCACTTGGTTTTTTTGTTTTGGATTTACTGATTTCTTTCAAAATCAGAGTTAGAGAAGAAGACAGTAACAGAGAAAGACTTCCAACCACTTATTCACTTCCCAAATGGGTGTAACAGACAGGACTTTTGGAACATCTTCTAGGACTCCCATGTGGGTCAAGAATCAAAGTACTTAGACCATCTTCTGTTGCTTTGCTGAGGACATCTGCAGAGATCTGGATCTGAACTGGAGCAACTAGGATCCAAAACCCTGCTCGTACAGAATACTGACACTGCATGTAGCAGCTTAATCCATGGCACCATAAGGCTGGTGTGTTATATTAGTCTTCAACATTGCAGACATGACTGTCATTACATTCTTTTGAATGTATGTTCACATTTTTAGTGGAAGAAGTAAAAAAAAAATAAGTTAAATACTGCTAAAACAGATTTAGAAGAGGATCTAAGAAATGAAACTTGCACTGTCTTAAAGCATGAGACAGGTCAGGAAACAAAGAAGTTATACATCAACAAGTCTTCAAAGAAATTTTGCTCTAAAGGAGAAAAAAATGAAATACTATGAGTTCATACATTTTTTTAATGTGCTTTTCTTTAATATACAAAAAAGCGCACTGGGTCATGACTGTATACAAACTGAATGACTTGGCAAGGAGGGTAAAAAGGATCTTTGAAGTTGATAAAGAAAACTGGTGAGAGAAGGTGTTTCATGGTTACGATGTCAGATCTCCTACACAGGTGCCTGGGAGCAACACACAGCACATGCTACCGATTCCAGCTTCCAAAACACAGACCATGGGAAGCAGCAATCTTATCTCAAGTAGTTGGGTTCTGGCCAACAACATGGAAAACTTGAACCGTACCCCTATCCCCAAGCTTCAGCCCTGGCCACTGCAAACATTTAAGGATTCTACTGAGTGTAAAACTTTAGTTAAGTTGGAATTAAAAGTAATCAAAACTTAAAGATTAAAATAGGCAAAGATATGGACTACAACAGGAAGAAAAAAAAAACATACCTTAAAAGTCACAGTTGCCTTTGTGCAGTAAAATCCTATAGAAACAATAGGATCCTTCAAAGTCTGTGCTTTCTGCTGATGCATGGTAGATGCAGGATCGTTCCCCAAGGAGTTCTCCTCACTCTCATCATAACTCACAATTGTAGGCACAAATGACCAGGCCCATGATACCCATCCCTGTGGCTCTTCATCTTCTTGCTGTGAATACAACTCTTGGCCTTTATACTGAGCAGGATATTGGAGATCTATTCTCGTCTCATCGTCGGCATCTATCAATCAAAATCAAGTCACTTAAACTTAAGAGGATTTAACTACAGGAAAAAAACAAAAAATATAAATCCTTTCAAATGTTTTACTGCAACTTTGTAAGACATTAACAAATCATACAGCAGTTAGTATTTAAAATCAATAAGTTACCATTCTCCTTCTCAAATTTCTTTATGGTACAGTGTGTAACTCTCCTTTTATAGATTAGAATTCCTGTTATATGAAAAGTAATCAACTATATGTAACTTTAAGAGTATTTAACAAGTACAAAGAATAAGTAAAATAATTCTTTAACATTTCACTCACTGTTTTGTTAAACAAACAAACAAAAAAAATCCTACCTCTCAAAATAAGACTTTGTTGAAGAACTTTCATTGGAAACATAACAGCAGAAAGGTCAAACAAAAGCTTAAGACTTCCTAGTACACCCACTGATACAGAAAATGACAAGTGCAACTGAGGCAAAAATGAAACCTTGCCCAAAACAAAAACTATCCCAAAGAATGACAGTACATGCTGCAATGAAATGATTTTATTAAACTATTCATTTGAAAGACAGAGACACAAACACAAAGAGTTCCCATCTGCCAGTTTACCTTCCAAATAACTGCAATGCCTAGGACTTGCAAACCAATGGAACCAGGAATTCAATCCAGGTCTCCCACCCTGAGTAGCAAGCAAAGTACCTGAGCCCTCTCCACTACCTGCCAGTGTCTGTCTCAGCAGGAACCTGCAATTATACATTCTTACAGAATGAAGGCATCTTAAGCACTATGCTAAACTTCTGTTCCTGAAACGGCTCATATACGCAGTTAAAAAATAGTAACACTCATGACTCTTCCTTGCTATTATGTATGACATCTTCCTTAATCTACAGATGAAAAAAACTTAAATTTGGTTATGAATTGGCAGATCAGGTTAATAGATTCCAACAACTCTAATTTATTCAAACATTGTAGAGCCAAATGCTATCAAACTTCCTTAATATTATTTTAACAATACACACAAGAATAATTATGGAAGGTAGAAAGAAAAAATGTTTTGCAATAAATTTATGACATGCAATCTCCAGATTCAAGCACAACTACTTTCTATTAACGGATCTAGAAGTACACATCCCTTAAAGTCCTCAAATTACGTACTTTTAGACTTTCTGGCTTAAGAAAAAATTCTTCCATCTCATAACAAAGTGGGAATGCTTCATTTATTAAAAAAAAAAAACATACAGGGCCCAGAGCAGTAGCCTAGCGGCTAAAGTCTTCAGCTTGCATGCACCAAAATCTCATATGGACACCGGTTCTAATCCCAGCAGCCCTACTTCCCATCCAGCTCCCTGTTTGTAACCTGTGAAAGCAGTTGAGGATGGCTCAAAGCCTTGGGACCCTGCACCCGCGTGGAAGACCAATCTCCAAGTTTCTTGCTGCTGGATCGGAGCAGTTCCGGCCATTGCAGCCACTAGGGGAGTGAATCAACAAACAGAACAGCTTCTTCTCTTGACTCTCTTTCTCTCTGTATATCTGACTTTCCAATAAATATAAACAATAACTTTTTTAAAATATACATCTAAACTATATGTATTTTGGTGCAAAATGCATGTTTCATTATATTCTTGTATTGTGTAACATCTAATCATGGTAAATTTACTTATCTTTCAAAGATTTAACATTTTTTCAATAGTGAAAGCTATCTAAAATTCCATCATCTAGGGCTTTTTTTTAAAGGAATTATAGTACATTATCTGTGGTCACCAACAGAACACTTACAGAACACTATAGCCCTCAAAAGTAATAGCCATAACCTAGTACCCATCCAACCAATCTTTCCCTATTCTCCCTCCCCCTTTCTTTCCCAGTCAGTGGTAACTACCCTAATAGTTTTCACTTGTATTTGATGGGGTCATGTGATATTTGTCTTTCTGTGCTTGGTTTATTTCACTGATCAAACTATGTTGTTGAGAATGACAAGATTTCATCCTTTATGATGACTAAGTAAAATCCCATTGTGTACGTGTACCACATTTTTTACTCATTGGTGGATGAACACTTAGGTTTATTTCCACGTCTTGGCTACCTAGCATAGTGCTGATATGAACAAGGGAAAGGAGATATTTCATTACAAAAATTCATTCCCCTTCAATGCAACCAAGGACTAGACTGCTATTTTCCACAATGGCCATCCCACAATGGCATTACTTCCAATAGTTTGCAGAAATTCTATATAAATTTCTTACACTATATGACAGGAAATAATAGGACCATCCTACACTTAGACATTGTGCCATTTACCTTTCTTCATCTTTATAAGGCTCTATTCTTATCCTCCTCCCATCATAATCATGTAAGTTTCTAGCGGAGAAATAAATTAAACCTGCCAAAAACAATGCCTAATAAAATATCCAGTTGGACACCATCACTGCGTAACATTTCAGTCATGCAAGAAATTGGGTCATTTAAACTTAGGAAAAAGCAAGTCTTCAGAGCCAAGACAATGAGTCTCTCCTGTCTAACCCATTCAAGGAGTGAATATCCACCACTTGAGCTTTGGAAGCAAAAACAAATCGTTACTATCTCCACTGCTAACATTCCTGTGACCAAAAGAAGAAAAAGGTATCAACAAAAGGTGCTTTCGAGTTCCACATCTTCACTCACTGCCTTACGAAAATAGTGAATCAGGGAATGGAAAAGAAAAACATCTTCCTGCTATTGTCAGAATTCTCTAAAATACTGTTTCTTTAGAATGATGTCCCATCTGAGACCCTTGGATGAAATTCAGGAATTCCATGACCCTCAACAGGAAAAAAAAAAAACATATTAAGTATTTACCTAAAATGTATTATTCTTTTTTAAAGATTTATTTTTATTATTTTTTCATTGGAAAGGAGGATATACAGAGAGGAGAGACAGAGAGGAAGATCTTCCATCTGATGATTCACTCCGCAAGTGAGCGCAACGGGCCGATACTATGCCGATCCGAAGCCAGGAGCCTCTTCAGGGTCTCCCATGCAGGTGCAGGTTCCCAAAGCTTTGGGCCGTCCTTGACTGCTTTCCCAGGCCACAGGCAGGGAGCTGGAAGGGAAGTGGGGCTGCCGGGATTAGAACCGGCGCCCATATGGGATCCCGGGGCGTGCAAGGCGAGGACCTTTAACCACTTGCGCCACCGCGCCGGGCCCCTAAAATGTATTATTCTTGAAAACATGAATGTAGATATCAAACCATAGTTGCAATAGCAATATCTGGAATTCCAACATCTTCAGAAAGCATGGATACATTAATCATCATGACATTACCTCAAATATCATTCCCCTCATTACTGCTTTGAAAGCTTGCTATAGTTCCTGATTCAACTTATTTTCTAACATGCTAACACAGAAATACAAATATTGGAGAATCAAGATGGCAGAATAGGGTAAGAACACCTTTAAACGGACGGAGAAACATTTAATCAGGAAGAAGCAGAGAGGACATATTTCAGGAAATAGGAAAGGAGAGAACAACAGCAGAGGGGTACCTGGAGACTGACAGATACAGGAAAGCAGCGGGAACAGCAGTGTGGTGTTGCAGTGACTGATACTCCAGCACGGCGATCTGAACTCCACCAGCAGCCTGAATTCCACCAGCAACCAGGTGGGAAGGGACTTTCAGTGGGAGCTTGGGAGGTAAACCCAGACAAAGAACTGTCTGTCCTGCTGGTCCGTTTGATTTGAGAAAGAGCAGAGACAGAGCAGTAAATCTCAGGTGGTGCGAGAAGAGTGAATTTCATAGCCCAGTCAGCCCCCTAGAGATGAATTGGGCGCCATTTTGCGTAAAGAGGAAAGAGCATGGGAAAGGACGGAGCATGCTCTGAGCGCGGAGTGAGCACATTTCTGACTCGGTGAACTGCAACGACGTAGCATTCTATGGGTTCCATCAGGGGCAGGTTTGAGTAGCCCTTGGATCTGACGGCCAGCAGATCAAGAACTGTAGTGGTAGCATGTCAGGCGCCATTTTGCGCACTGTGGCAATAGCTTAGGGACTGCAGGGGACAACAGTGAACTGCGCATGTGCTGAGCTCGCGAGAACTCGCTGAGGTCCCGCAGGAAAATAATACCGACTGTGGCATCATACTGGTCAAAACAGGTCTTTCTGGCACCCAGACCTAACATCCAGCAGGTTCCAACAAGATCAGCGCGACCAACAACCTAACTAGATAGTATACCTGGTATCTCTAATCCTGGAACCCACTCCAACTGGAAGAGGGAGAAAGGTTGCAGAGACAACAGTGCAGCCTCAGCATGGTATCACAGGAGGTGGAGAATGGTGAGCCAAGACCTAGGGCTGAAGAGACCACAGTGGATATCTGACATAAGAATCCAGGCCTGGAACTCGCTGGAGGGAGTGGCACAAGTGGCTGCAAGCAGAGTTGTGGATGAACTGCAATAAGTAAAATCGCATTGTAGATCTGTGGGTGACACAGCTTAGAAACCTGCCCCAAGAAGAAGACTCTGATAACCAGAAGTACAATGATCAAGAGCAAAAGAACAGACAAAGGCACAAGGAATATTACTGAAAACTCCCCTGCAAAGGAGCAAAACTCTTTGGCAAGCTCAGAGTTAACTGAGAAAGACATGGAGAAAATGGGGGGCACAGAATCCATAAGACTCATTTTAAAGATTCTGGTCAAAAATGAGAAGCACATGCAAGAGTTCAAAGAATTTAAGGAAGCAGGAAAGCAAATCAAGGCTGGTATATCAGAAATTAAGAACACAGTAGAGCAAATGAAAAGTACAGTGGAGAGTCTCCAAAATAGAATGAAGCAAGCAGAAGAAAGAATCTCAGAATTGGAAGATATTTCCTGTCATCAGGGGAAAGCAAACAAAAAGCTGGAAGCAGAGCTGGATCAGGCCAAAAAAAGTATTCAAGAACTGAAAGACACTATTAAGAGGCCAAATATAAGAGTTATGGGAGTCCCGGAAGGTGCAGAAAGAGAAGCTGAGTTTGCAAATGTATTTAATGAAATAATCAAGGAAAATTTCCCTGATTTTGAGAAAGAATTAGGAAACAAGATCCAGGAGGGACAAAGAAAACCCAACAGGCTTGATCAAAAGCGATCTTCACCACAACATATGATCATTAAGCTCTCTTCAATTGAACATAAGGAAAAGATCCTTAAATGGGCACATGAAAAAAATCAAATGACATATAAAGGAATGCCAATTAAACTCACAGGAGATCTCTCACAGGAAACTCTACAGGCAAGAAGAGAGTGGAGTGACAAATTCCAGATTCTAAAAGAAAAAAAATGTCAGCCTAGGATAACATACCCAGCAAAGCTTTCTTTCATCTTTGAAAATGAAATAAAATTCTTCAGAGTAAAGTAAGCTAAAAGAATTTGCCTCTCTCAAACCTGCCCTACAAATAATACTTCAAGACGTTCTCTTGACAGAGAAGAGGAATAGCACCTACCAAAACCAAAGGCAAAGGGGAAGAACATCCCAGTAAAATCACAACAGAAGACTAAATCAATGAACAACCCATTCCTAAAATGACAGGAACAAATTACCACCCATACATATTAAACCTGAATGTAAGTGGCTTAAGCTCAATCAAACATCATAGATTAGTAGACTGGATTAAAAAACAAAACCCATCTGTTTATTGTTGGGAGGAGACACACTCCAACAAAGATCAGCCGAAACTATATCACATGGGTTTTGTTGTTATCGGTTTGTTTCATCTCTTCAAAACACTTTCTTCTGATTAAATCATTCAATGACTTGTAGATCATGCAGTCGCACCATTTTCTTCAAGAAGGTTCTTGGGGCCCGGCGCGGTGGCGCAAGTGGTTAGGGTCCTCGCCTTGCACGCCCAGGGATCCCACATGGGCGCCGGTTCTATCCCGGTAGCCCCGCTTCCCTTCCAGCTCCCTGCCTGTGGCCTGGGAAAGCAGTCAAGGACGGCCCAAAGCTTTGGGACCCTGCACCTGCATGGGAGACCCTGAAGAGGCTCCTGGCTTTGGATCGGCATAGTATTGGCCGTTATGCTCACTTGGGGAGTGAATCATCAGATGGAAGATCTTCCTCTCTGTCTCTCCTCTCTGTATATCCTCCTTTCCAATGAAAAAATAATAAAAAATAAATCTTTAAAAAAAAAAAAGAAGGTTCTTGATTTTCACTTCTTCAGCTACACGTTATACATTTAATAGCATGTTGTTTAGCTCCTTAGTGTTGTTAATTTCTTTTTTCTGAGTTTGTTTTGTGGCTCTTCATTTAAGGGAATGTATAGTAGTTGTGTAATGGAGACTGTCATATCTAGTAACATGTCATTTAACTTCATGGCATTGTAAATTTCTATTTTTCTTTCTATTGTTGATTTTGTATCATGACTTTTCATTTAAGGGAATGTACAGTAGTTATATAATGGACACTAACATCCAGATGTGAGGATGCAGTGTGGTATGCATTTCTATTTCCAGACAAAGATGGACTTACAGTGAAACTGCTTATATTATATTTTGACAATAGGATTCTGGACTCTCTGCCATTGTTCATGCCCACAAAGATGACTGTGTATGAAGAACTATATGTTAGTAATGATATAAAGGAACTAGGTGGGGGGGAGGGAATTGGGGAGGGGATAAGGGAATATGGAACTGTATCATAAAATGATAGTAATAATAATAAAATGTGAAAAAAATAAGAGAGAGAAAACAAAGAAATACAAATATTAAAGCAGTACCATATTCTGAACACTTGGTAACTATATATCAATATAATTAGCTTATTTTTAATCCAATATAGTTACTTTAAGCATTTAAATCAGTCAGAGAAGTTATATACGGCCAAGAGGAAGTAACAGAGATAAATTTTGTTGCTACCTAAAGGAAAAAAAGAATGAAAAACATGAAATAAAAGTTAGTAGAACCCAGTATATTAGGCAATGAAGGAGAGTAACTCCTGAGAGAACCCAAGAGAAATAACCTGACACAGTTCCAGTTTATTACCTGCAATGAGGTTTTAAGCCGCACCAAGAAAATGGAAATCTAAGCATAACTCAACATCTTTCTTAGGTGAGACGAGACGAGAAAGTGTAACTTCCAGGGACACTAACATGGCTACTATTTTCCAGGCAGAGTACTAAACAAGTAAGCTGCTTATAGAACCCCCGAGACACACATAGGATACTCCTGCAAGTGGATATTAATCGGTAAATATAGAAAAGAAGCCACAAGAAGCCATGAAAACAATCAACTGAAAGGAGCAGAAGTGCAATGGCCATGGCTTATGCAGGAATGGGAAGAGTTTTTATTCCCACTAGCAAAAAAAATAAAAACATCGTCAAATTCACAGGACATTAGGCAGAGTACCTGGAAGAGAATTGCAACATTACTGAGATGAGACAGCACTTAGAGAAGGCACCTCTGATTCCTCCCAACAAGAAGAAAAAGCCTTAAGTGAATTAACTTCTTTCCAAGCAATTTCAATGCATTTTTACTAAATAAAAATATCCAGCATTCAACAAGATAAAATTTAAATCGACAGTTAAACATTATCAGGATATAAAGAACTAGAAAAATGCAATTCATCATTAAGGAAAAAGTCAATAACAGATCTGAAAATAACAAAATTGTAAAAAGCATCAGTAAACAAATACAAGAAAACAATTACACTTTAAAATACAGGTTCAAGAAAGCATAAATGAGTGAAGGAGAGATGAATTACCTAATAAAAGAGCTAAACTAAACTTAGAGATGAACAATTTTCAGTATCACGTATGTCAGAGACCCAATAGGCTCTAGGTGGAACTAACAGCAAATTGGACACATCAGTGAACTTACACAGAAATTAAAAAATGGCCAAAAATGAAACAAAAGACAAAACACAGAGCATCAGAGCTCTGCTGAACTTCAAGCAGCTTAATATACACAAAATGGGAGTCTTCAAAGAAGACAGAACCTGAAAAAAATATATTTTTAAATTCATAATCAAGGATATTTTTACTGTACAGAAAAAATGCCATTCCAACATGAGGACAAAAATCAAAGTAGTGTCGAAGAATCAAAAATTGTCATCCCACCTATTAATAACCCTATGCACAGCAAAGTAAATGTGTTTTTTAAAGTCTCCCAGTGGTAAAACACTTGGTAAGAACAGCAATTCTAAACGAAGTTTCTGCTGTACTTACCCACAATGCTTCCTAATTTCTCCTTATTGTGACAAGTAGGATCTTCTGTTTCTCCGTCTTTAACGTTGCCTATTTCTCCATAGTAAAGAGCAACCCCAAGCTGCATTATACGGATGAACATAGGAAGCTGCTGGTCTGTAATGGAAAGTTTCAAACTCTCCACTAAGGTATGGATCTGTATTGTAAAACATAAAGACAAAGAAAATGCATTTAAAGGAATATCTCTGAAGATAACTAAAGAATTTTTAATTCTTAAAATACAATATAAAACAAAAAAGTCATATATAAAACATGTTCAGTATTTAAGGCAAAATAACATTGACTCTAAAGTTTTAGTGATTACACCTATTTTTCTGTAATTATCAATAGTCTTCGATACAAAATTAAGTCAAAAATGTAGATATGTCTACAAAATAAAATCTACTTACGGCAGATTTCCAGATAACAACTACAGGAATAAAAGTATAAAACCAAATATCAACTCCATAACATTAAGAATGTAATAGTACTTCCCCCCCAAAAAAACAGAAAGATCTCTGACAAAAGAATAATAAAAAGCAGATGATGTCATTTTAGTAAAACTTTAATCACTCTTTCGAGTCTTATTAACCAAAAGGAATACAAACACATCCTAAAACCATATGTTAAGTGGAGAAAAGACTAACATTAGAATTATGTAAGTATAGAAATAATAAAAATTTTATTGTCAAATATGAAAAACCCAGTAAAATATACAGGTAAGAAAGTTCTTTGGAAAAAATTAAACAGAACAAATGTGATATAAAACTTATAACATGAATCAATTAGACGAATGAAATAAGATTAATAACAAATAAGATATAAAGCAATCAAAGTTCTTCTTAAAGAAATAGACATCAATGGAATATAAACACAATTTCAGCGTAATGGTTTCCGGCTGCTATATAAACATGGAATAAAACCAATTAAGCCATAAAGTCAAGCCTCTTAGAAAGTTTATTTTGACTAACTGGTATTTGAGTGTCTACAAAACATGAAAAAGAAGTAATGGTAATCATCATACTTTTAGGGCTCAACGCATAAAAAATGTATTTGCAAATGGATAGTCATAAAAGCAGGGTGGGGCATAAAAAACTATTTCAACTATGAACACAAGTTTCCTAAAACATACTTAAAAATCACATAGTGAATAAAACAGTAAGAGGTATGAAAATGGAGTGGGGTTGAAGTGGCACAGAAGGAATATCAGCCTGGCTAAGCTGGTCTTACACTGGATTTGGCTAAGTCTTTTAAATACCATATTACACCAAAACCATTACTGATAAGCAAAATCAATTTCAGAAAATATACCTTAATATGTATGTTCATATTGAAATGTATTTAAAATCGATGAGAAAAGCAATCCTCAACAGAAGAAAATACACAACAAATTTCAACGGTTAATTCAAAGAACAAGTCAGTGACCATACACTCAAAACTCTAAATTCATAAATGTACATCATTAAATTACATGTTTTATTCAGAAACTGGTGACTTAAAAAAATAATCACATATAAGGAAAGTGAACAGACTCAATGTTCAGGGGTATATATTCTGACTAACCTTGTCTGGAAACAGGTTTGCAGTACAAATCACAAGTGTTAAAAATTTAACCCCAAGAAAAAGATTTTTACAATAATACAAATATTTACTAATGAATTAATCAGAATTGTGACCTATGATTTTAATTCCTATAAAAATACAAAGTAAATTTTTAAAATAGAATATTAACTGATGTATCCATATGCTGTATCTCAATGTCATAATCTCTAGAACATACTTGCTTCACATGAAAGATATAAAGCCCCAAGAAGCCTACCCAAAATATGAATAAAAAGCCACTGGAAAACAGGTGAAAAGTTTAAAACCAAATGAAGGTATGCGAAACATTTGGGGGACCCTTATGTCTTTCTAGTGATGCTTGAGGTTGACTACACCTAGTTCAGTACCCCAATCCTAGGACTACAAGCTGCAAGAATAATGGTTCTAACCCAAGTCTCAAATATTGTATCAAAAACTCAAAAACTGGTATCAGTTGAGCAAAATATAATGCTAACCCATGTGCCGATTACCAGAGTCAAAAACCACTTGTCAATAAACTTATTTTTACAATAAAATGTCACAGCTGATCAATTTTGATGACAGAACACTAAACTTTTCCTCAAATTATTTTTCATTTTCTCTAATAAAGCCAAACCCTAATCAGACAACTAAATATCCACTACTGATCAATAAGATTATTTTATATATTAAAGCTGCAAAATATTCATTGCTTGCTTTACAAATATATGTTGATTTTTCTTTTCACATTTCAATTTCAGTAGCAAATCCTAGCCTAAAAGAGAATAACCCCAGTTATCTGGGAGACAGTAATACCATGGAGTTAATATTTCCATAGTAACATCGTCAGAGAAGGTAATTCAAAATCAGAAGGAAAAAGTTAACAGAATCTCCACAAACCAATGTGCAGATATTCTGCGTGGAAAAAAGCAAAATATGACTGAGTACTACCCATTCTTACCCCCCAAAAAAGGCAGAGTTTATGTATAAATACAAATTTCAGTATGGCTACATGAAAGAGAAAATATACATTTTACTAAAGCAATGCACAAAATGAACCAGTTTTTACACAGTCACACTCAAACAGGCTCCGTTGCCATTATAACAGTGTTTAGAAATTAACCCTAGCCCATTTAGCTTAAAACTTCAGTCAGAAACACATAATCCAATAAAATTCATTCTACATTAAAAATTAGTAAGATCAAAAGTCAATGTACAAATTCTTCTAAGAAAAACTGTTAGGTAATACCCATAAAAATGACTAACAAAAGATGAAATGATTTACACTTAGTTACTAACTTTAAGCATTGAAAATGAAATCCACTAACTTGTTAACAAACTTTTGCATGTACCAGGAAAAGATGTTTGGCCCAGCAGCTGAGACTCCTACATTCTACTGCAAAGTGCCTGTCTACTTGGAGAAACACTAAACACTAGATAAATTTAAAAAGGAAATTGTAGTTGCAGAACTGAAAAGTTGTCCGCAAAATACCTCTACTAGAACATATTACACAAAAAGTAATACAAGTAAACCCTAATAAAACTATTTTATGAAATCAAAATTGCACAAACAATTGCAAAGTTAGCTTTTCTTTGCTTTTTTTTTTTGGTTTGTTTAATTACCTGACAATGATATAAATAGAATTCCCATCTTGTGACTTACTCCCCAAATGCTTATAGCACAAAACCTAGACTCCAGCAGAAACTGGGGGATGGGAACTCAATCCAGGTTTCTCCCACTGGAGCCAATTACGACAGTTAGTGTGGTCTCCCAGAGCTCACACTGGCAGGAAGCAATAAGCAAAGCCAGGAGCTGAACAGGTCCTCGCCTGAGGAAGGCAGGAATCCTAACCAGTAGGCCAAACACATGCCCCTCCTCCTGGTTTTTTTTCAGTAATAATTAGCAAAACAGACATATACTACAAAAAAAGAGACCTACTTTAATAACAGACGGCATCTTGGAATTCAGATTATCATATGTAAAATGCAGACGGGTCCTGAAGGAACATTTGTACAACAAAGGATCCTGGTAAAATTCTATTTTACCACTAGCATTTCGTTTATCAAGACAAACTGTACAATCAGAAAAATTGATAATCTTTCTCAACACCAGATCAGTTGCTAAAAAGAGAAAAAAAAATATGTGAGATAAAACTAACCTGAAAAGGCAACATTAGTTAGTACAAATGATAAAAATAGTTAGTTGTGAGACTTATGGAACATGTAAACAAGATATTCTGCCCAGTGCAAAGAAACTGTCCTCTATAAATCATTTAAATCTTCTAACAACCTTATGGAATAAACACAATTATCTCCATTTTGCATTTGAAGAACCAAATATAGGGCTAAGCATATGTCCTCAGTATATGTAACTACAAATTTGAGCCAAAATTTATGACAAAATTTGCTAGTTATTTTGTACAATAACAATGAAATGAACTTTTTGAAAATTCACTTTACCCGAAGCAACTCATTACTACTGTAAATCTGTACTGTCCAGTGGTTACTTAGAACTACATTTAAATTAAGCTATGGTTGTTATTTAAAACATTTAAATTAAACTACATAAAAATAAAACCTCAGGTGCTGTTGCACTGCCCCATTAGCAGCCACACACAGCTAATGGGTTACAATACAATATCCATCAGTAAAGAAAAAAAAAAAAAAACACACTTCCAACACCACAGTAGCCTAGTGGCTAAAGTCCTGGACTTACAAACACCAGGATCCCATATGGGCACTAGTTTGTATCCCGGCAGCTCCACTTCCCTTCCAGCTCCCTGCTTGTGGCCTGGGAAAGCAGTTGAGGAAGGCACAAAGCCTTGAGAGCCTGCACTCCCATGAGAGACACAGAAGAAGCTCCTGAATCCTAGCTTCAGATCAGCTCAGCTCCAGAATTTGCGGTCACTTGGGGAGTGAACGAGCAGATGGAATATTCTTCTTTCTCTCCTTCTCTCTATAAATCTAACTTTCCAATTAAAAACAAAAACACAAGCAACAAAAAAAAAAAAACTTCTCACTTAAAATAATTTTAAAAAATAAAGAAATTGCTTGGGAAAAATATGATAGCATAGTGCGTTAAGCCACTGCCTGAGCTACTAGCATCCCTAATGGGCACCAGTTCTAGTCCCAACTACTCCACTTTCAATCCAGCTCCCTGGTAATGTATGTAACAAAGCAGCAGGAAACAACTCAGGTGCATGGGTCCCTGCCACCCACATTGGAGACCTAGATGGAGTTTCAGGCTCCTGGCTTCAGCATGGCTTCAGCCTGGCCCAACCAAGGCCATTGTAGTCATTTGGGGAGTAAACAATGGATAAAAATCCTCTGTCTCCTCTCCGCCATCCCACCCCTGCTCTCTATAACTCTGCCTTTCAAATAAATAAATCTTTCCAAAAAATTACCAGAAATCCTTTCAAACAGGGCATCAAAGAAAAAAAAAACAATTAGTAGTAAAGCATTAAATCAGAAAACAGGACTTCAACCAAGTGAGTTGTTTTAATCCTCATTGATAGGTTTGCAATGATTTTGTTAGCAGCTCTCCATATGCTATGCCATGGGAATCTTCAAAGCAATCAGACTGGGTAGGTGAGTGACACAGGAGTTAAAACAGTGCTTAAGACACCTGTAGCCACTAGCCTGGGAGATCTGAATAAAGCTCCCACCTCCTGGTTTTGTCCTGGCCCAATCCGAGACACTGCAGCCATCTGGGAAGTGAACCAGACATGGAAGTCCTCTTGCTCTCTGTATCTCCTTCTCTCTATGTAAGTCTGTCTTTCAAATAGATAAATCTTTTTGAAAAAAGTCAAAAACCACAATACACTACCACTATTTTAAAAGAGACTATTCAAAAACAACTATGAGGTTTTTTTAACCTAAAAATCCATTTGCATATGAGCATCTCCCCACTAGACTGGAAGCATAAAGCTTTCCTTAGATTTATCAATGAGCCACGAGGGCCAAAAACAAAAAACGTTAAAAATCAAGATAGTTGTTTTAATTATGAAAAGATGCAACTGTTAATATTTACTCACCAGAAATATCCATGAAGGCACGATCCCATAATTCACTTACTGTATAGCATTCTGCAGAAGTGATATTGACTGAAAGCACAATATCATCTTCAACATATTTGAGTATGAGATTATTTATAACAATGTTTACATTATTTACAACTCGTCTAATCAGACTCTGCACATAACCTACAAAAGAGGGAAATGATTCAATTAATCATAAGTCCATCAACAAATACCTTAAACGTTCTTGAATTTAATGTATGCGAAAGGTAGGCATTCTATAGCTTGTGCTGCAAAATAAAGTTCATATAGATTAACAAGTTTGCCAAAATGAGATAGCTAATCCGCAGCAAGTACAACCCAACAAACACAATTACCAAGAAGTTCTATAATGAACCATATGTGTTATAACAAAAACGGAATCTTTTCAGTAATAAAACATTAAAACCATTCAATGATTATTGTATAAGTAATTTGGTTTCTGCTTACTTCAAAAGCATTGTCACAAAATAAACAAAGTTACTATACATTAATTATATAATACATAAGAAATGTTTTTTTTAGCTTTTCAAATCAACTACCATCATCTCCTAATTTTAGTCAAATACATGTATTATACATGTAATCGAAAGCTAGACCTAGAAGAAGAGAAACAATGGATTTATGTTCCTTTCCTAACGTATTACTAAAATGAGGAGAAATACAAAGTAGAAAATATAGACAAAGTTAAAGAAAGCTTAGAGGATGTCTGCAATGAAGATAAAGAACAAATAAATGTATAAGGGATTGAATAACAGCAGAATAACAACGGAGTAATAAACTAATCTAAAACAAAAGTAGTGAGTGAATATCCTTTTTAATAGTTTAGAAAGTTCAAAAATTTTAATTTCATGCTACTGTGGAGTACTCCACAACCTCTGTTACAGAGGTAAGTGTGAGACAAACAGCATTTTAAAAAGATAAATGCTTTAACTAAACATAATTGTCTCCAATGGTATCCATTTTATCACAAAAGGCAGGATTTCATTCTTTTTACTGCTGAGTAGTATTCCATCATACATGCATATCATGATTTCCTTCATCCAATCACCATTTACCAACAAATCCGCAAAAGACAAATGTTTTCCATATTTGTCCAATTAATATACATACTAAAAATGTAATGCATATTGGTAAAACTGACATTTTGAGATTTGATTACTATTTACAAGCCCTCTTCCATACTCTTTCAGGAACAGCATTTTGTCTCCTATTTTTTCAAACATTACTTATTTTTAAAGATTTATCTATTCTTTTATTTTAAAGTCAGATATACAGAAAGGAGGAGAGATGGAAAGATCTTCCGTCTGCTGACTCACTCCCCAAGTGGCTGCAATGGCCAGAGCTGACCCAACCTGAAGCCAGGAACCCAGAGCCTCCCCTGGTTCTCCCACAATGGTACAGGGTGCTAAAGTCCCTGGCCATCCTCAACTACTTTCCCAGGCCACAAGCAGGGAGCTGGATGGAAAACAGGGGTGCCAGGATTAGAACCAGTATCCTACATGGGATGCTTGCGCGTGCAAGGGGAGGACTTCAACCACTACACTACTGTGCCAGGTCCAAAGATTTATTTATTTTTATTGAAAAGGCAAATTTATAGAGAGGAGACAGAAAGATCTTCCATCCACTGGATCACTCTACAAATGGCCACAATGGTCGGAGTGGAGCAGAGCCGCTCTGGAGCCAGGAGCTTCACACAGGTCTCCCACACTGGTGCAGGGTCCCAAGACTTTGGGCCATCCTCTACTGCCCTTCCAGGCCACAAGCAGGGAGCTTGATGGGAAGTGGAGCAGCTGGGACACAAACTAGTGCTCATATGGAATTAAGGTGCTTGCAACACAAAGGATTAGCCAATCAAACCACTCTGCTGGGTTCAAGCAGTGATTTTTATACTGATATCATGCAGAAATCTTCAGTTAGTGAAAAGTTTGCTATTGTTACAAAGTATATTGAAAGAATGTCATGGTAAAAAAAATAAAATGGAGGGAGGGAGAAAGAAGGGTGAAAAGGAGAGAGGGTAAGGTAAGTATCATTACGCTCTTTAAACCCTACATATGAATTACATGAGATCTGTTCCTTTCATACAAGAGAGACAAAGATAACTGAACTTGTGTGTAAAAGGGAATCAACCTCTGCAGGCAGCTGACATGGCTAACACCTACTCTGAAGACTGCTGTGAGAAAGCTTATTAACGTATTCAAGTATAACATATAAAAACTAGTTCCTAGGCCAACGTGACAGCCTAGCAGCTAAAGTCCTCGCCTTGCATTTGCCGGGATCCATTATGGGAACCAGTTCTAATCCTGGCAACCCCACTTCCCATCCAGCTCCCTGCTTTTGGCCTGAGAAAGCAGTTGAGGACAGACCAAAGACTTGGGACCCTGCACCTACGTGGGAGACCTGGAAGAAGCTCCTGGCTTTGGATTGGCACAGCTCTGACTATTGAAACCGCTTGGGGAGTGAATCATTGAATGGGAGATTTTAGTCTCTGTTCTTTCCTCCTCTCTGTATATCTGACTTTTCAATAAAATTTTTTAAATTTTTTTTAAAGTTCCTTCATTCAATCCCAATAGATGAAACTAGGAAAAACATGTACTATAATTTTAAGTTCAAGATTTTCTCTTTTTCAGAAACTATTACTAGCTTTCAGAGTACCAGTTATCATATGCAATAGAATAAACACAATTTTTAGTAGATACTAAGTTTTCAAGAAATCAGACTTTGAAAAAAACTTTAAATATCCAATTTATCAACTATAATGTACATTAATCATTAGTACTCCTAGTCAACATCGATGTAAAAAATAAAAAATAAATGTTTCTAAGAAGTATGCATGATTGATATTTGCTTTCCTATTTGGGGAAATTCTGTCAGTAATATGAACTCTTACATAGTTTTGATGAGTTTCCTAAGTTTTAATTAAGTTCAAAACAAAAGACAGCACTGGAGAAAACGCCCAAGGCAAAGCATTCTATATATGCTAATGGGTTTTTCACCATTTCTTAGCATTTCCAACCAAATTTATGCCATAAAACTGATGATTTGGAAAAAAAGGAGGGGAGGGGGACACACCAAAGGAAGAATCAAGTATCTAAAAAGAACTGCTTTTATAGAACACTATATAACCTTATTAAAAGTATAATAATGCCAAAGTGACAAGGAGTTACCCATGAAGTAAATTATACATTACTGCGCTTTATAACAACACAGGTCCTGGTAAGCTACAGGATGATATGAAGCAAAGAGAATTACCCCTCCATATACAGAGACTCCTGGGAGTATACTTGTTCAAATCCCAGCAATCCATGTCTACTCTCCTGGCATCAGAAAACAGAATCACCCTAGAGTAAGAATCTATCAGACATGCTATTACATGGTCCTAAAATACTGTTACTAGCCACCTATCTACAATTTCTTAGTAGCGGCTTCTCTCTCACCCACAAAACCCCATACTACCAAACACTACCTATACCACTCCCAAAAAATAAAAGATGAAAACACACAGTGGATCTTCACCATCTTTTCATCCTAGTTTTTTAAAAGACTAAGAATAAGCAAGCTTTATTAGCATAGCCTCAGATAGACCCAATAAAGCATAAATTAAAAGCAGTCATCAGATTTTGGTAACTAAGCAATATTTTAGGATAATTACTCTAGGAGCTAAGGGAAACAGCTGTGAGTTAAAGATACTATCAGTTTTAAACATGGTCATGAAAGTTTCAGAAAACTAAATAAGGAGAAGAAAGTAATCTTAAGTTTGGTAAGGATGGCACAAAAACATTTCAAAGATAATTCTGTAGAAAATCCAAAAGAAACAACTAAAAACTGATCAGCAGACAATATAAAAATTATTTTCCGACACAGAAAAATGATGGAAAGAACAAAGATGGTAATCCCAATCAGAAGTAATTAAAATAGTATTATACCAAAATGTGCTTGGAAGAAAGTATTGCTACAAATTTTTCAGAGTAATTTGGCCATTTATGCCAAAACATTGAAATTATAAATATTTATTCTGTAGATTGATAAGGTTTTTCTTATAAGGAAATGAACCCAGTTGCATGCAAAGATTTATCTACCTCAAAGTTTGCTAAACATTTTAGACAACTGAGAATGGCAAATAATCTCAACAGTTACCAAAAATGGGCTTTTCAGATATATAGAAGAGTGACATAACGCATTATAAGCCAACAATTAAAATAACATTGTAAGAAATATTGATGGCCTGGAAACATGTTGTTGGAATAACATTAAATAAAAAACAAAATCACAAAAGAAAATGTGTATGTGTGTGTACAGAAAGAAAAAAAACCTCCACATGCTTGAACCTGTCTAGGCAATAGGATGGCTGACTGTCTGACATTGTCTGTACCAGCAATGCTAAGCACACTTAAATAACAGACTAATAAACTAAAGACTGCTTTTGAAGGACTATTCTAGTATGATAATATGGGGAATATCACTCAGGGGATGGGACTTTGGGGAGGAGTAGGGAAATCCTAGACCCTACAGAATTGTATAAAATTCAAAATTAAAATAATAACAAAATGAAGAGGGGGGAAAAAAAAAAAACTTCAGCTGCTAGACCAGAAAATCTAGGACAGCTTCTTACTATGAATGTCAGAGTCAGTGACGACAGATCTGGTTACCTAAGCCTGAGGAAAAAATGTCTGATTTTGTACAGATGAATAAACAAATGCCTATTATGAACTAGATATCATATTTGATCAGGGATAAGTAAAATAATCCTTGTGCCATCTACTTTTATAAAATTTTAATTGGAACACAGCCATATTCCTTACATGAACAAATGTCTATGGCTGATTTCTCATAAAAATAAATAAATAGAGTAAAACCCATCTATTTGTTGCCTACAGGAGACATATCTCACCAAAGATCAGAGGAAACTATATCTCATAGATAATTTTATTTTTAGCTTCATCTCTTCAAAACTTTCTCATTAAATTCTTCAATGACCCACAGATCACGTAATACCACCATTTTCTTCAAGAAGGTTCTTGATTTTGTTTTACATTTCTTCAGGGATACATTAGTCATTCAGTAGCATGTTATTTAACTTCACTGTGTTGTTAATTTCTTTTTTCTTCCTGTTGTTGATTTTATTCTGTGGCTTTTCACTTAAAGGAATGTATAGTAACTGTGTAATGGAGACTATCATATCCAGATGTGAGGATACAACACAGTATGCATCTCTACCTCCAGATCAAAGATGGACTCCCAATGAAACTGTTTATCTGGACTATAGGATGTGGACTCTCTGCCATTGCCCATGCCTGTTATGATGGACATGTGACTGTGTATGAAGAACTATGCCATAGTAATGGTATAAGGGAATTCAGTGAGGAGGAAAGGAATTGGGGAGGGGATAAGGGAAATCCCAGGGCCTATGGAACTGTATCACAAAAAAATAAGTAAAATTTTTTAAAAAGAGTAAAATAGCTGGGACAGAAAACATGCAGCTTAAAACCCTAAATACTAACTTGTTCTTTACTCCCTGTGCTAGACAATAAAGATTCAAGCTAAGTAACAACTTGTGACCCAGGAAATGAATGATTTTTACTTTTATCCTAAATACTCCAACTAAAATCCGTGTTTGTGCACTGTAGCACGGACATCTACATACATCTATTCTGTAGAAACGGGGAAGGAGAAGAAAGAAAAATGAAGACATTAAATCCAACAAAGAAGGTAAAGAAATGCAAAATTTTTCCCTGGCCTTTTTAGCAAACAAGATATTCTTTTAAAAAAATCAGTGATTGGGCCTGGCGCGATAGCATAGTGGTTAAAGTCCTAGCCTCGAACGTGCCGGGACCCAAAGTGGACGCTGGTTCTAGTCCCAGAGGCTCTGTTTCCCATCCAGCTCTCTGCTTGTGGCCTGGGAAAGCAGTCGAGGAAGCCCCAAGGCCTTGAGACCCTGCACCCTTGTGGGAGACCTAGAAGAGGCGCCTGGCTTCGGATTGGCTCAGCTCTGGCCGTTCAGCCGCTTGGGGAGTGAACCATCAGACAAAGACCTTCCTCTCTGTCTCTCCTCCTCTCTGTACATCTGCCTTTAAAAATTAAAAAAAAAAAATTAGTGATTATAAGAAAAAAACATATATCAGTTATTCAAGAAATACTGAGAGAAATTAAAGATAATACCACTTAGGGTCATTTTAGAGAAAAGGCAAAAGCGACCACAGATGGCTGCTTCTCACAATCCCTTTCAATAAAAGACAAAAGCTATCTATTTCAGAGTATGAAGTGTTAATCTGGCTTTAAAGTATTCTGATAGATCGATCCGTTAGGTGAGATCAGGCAAGATTTCTGAACCCAGTGAGGCAATTCATCATGCCTTCATAAAAAGTGGCATGCTTGCCTTTCACAGGAAATACAGGTAAGGAAATACAGGTTAACTCCATTGTGCTGTGTTTACACTGAGCAGGAAGATGAGAATACTACTGAATGTAAGCTACTACCAATGCCCCCATGGAATTCAATTGGTACAGCTAGAGGTCTGTTGTGTATTCATCTGTCTATAGTTACCGCATGCACCGGTATTTTCTGTTAAGTGAATTATCAATGAAGTAAGCAGCATCATACATTTATGCATCTTTTTACTTCCACCTCATATTAATTGAACATACATTAACACTGAAAAAAAAAAAGACTGACATTCCTGAGTTGCAGCTGTTTCTACATAAATAAATTCTTCATATAAAATATTCTTGCTTAGATTATTTTATAAAAATCCTACCTGTCATTTAAATGTACAAATGTAAGGATGTTCAAGCAACTTTTCTTTTTTAAAAAATTATTAATTAAATTTATTATTCCATGACAAAAAAAAGATTTCTGAACTCAGGACATGGAAGGCCTATACCCCGATGCAGGAAATAGCTACCGAGGATGAGATGAAGCCACATCCTTCAGCAACCCTTTAGAATAGGGGTCAGTAATCCCAGCAGGCAATGAAACTGGACAGGCAGATAGCAAGTTTACAATGCACAAATTGGAAGCCACACCTCCTCTGCCCTACTAATACAGTCTGCCTACCTGTCAATCAAATGACCCCTCTCCCAGGCTGTACTTTCCCTGACCTTGGACTTGTGGGTAGCACCTCCCCTTCCAGGCTCAGGAGAAGCCAGGCAACAGGGAAGGGTGCCCTCGCTCTCTCCCGTGGGTACAAGATCAAAGTAGAAACATCTCTTCCCTTTCCCTTTCCTGCCCACTCTACCTTTTCTATCCCTAAATGTTTCTGTGATTTCCTAATTGTTGAAAAAAAATCAGATAAAAAATAAAATTCACACTAAAGTACAGAGAAAATTGAGGAAAAATTAAAAATTGACAGCATTGGACTAGCACAGTAGCATAGCGAGCTAATCCTCCACTTTGGGTGCTGTCATCCCACAGTGACACAGATTTGAGTCTCAGCTGTTCCACTTCTGATCCAGCTCTCTGTTTAAAGGCTGGGAAAACAGCAGAGAATGGCTCAAGTCCCTGGGCCACTGAACCCATGTGGAAGACCCAGAGGAACTTTCTGACTCCTAGCTTGATATCAGCTTAGCTCCGGCCACTGCAGCCATTTGGGGATGAACCAGCAGATGGAAGACATCTCTCCATTGCTCCTAATCTATCTGTAAAATCTGCCTTTCAAACAAACAAACAAAAACAACATGTTTAAAAACAGTTCTGTTAATCTCACAATAAAAAAATATTTCATTATCATCAGTAATTGAAAGTCTTGTCCTATATATCAATAACTTGAAGAAAATGTGTATGTATCAAATCAGTTCAATTCAGTGTTTTGAACTTCCCACAGTAAGAAATACAATGTCTGGGGGCCTGGCACGATGGCTTAGTAGCTAAATCCTCCCCTTGCAAGTGCCGGGATCCCATATGGGTACTCGTTTGTGCCCCGGCTGCTCCACTTCTGATCTGGCTCCCTGCTTATGGCCTAGGAAAGCAATAGAGAATGGCCCAAAGCCTTGGGACCCTACACCCCTGTAGGAAACTTGGAAGAGGTTCTTGGCTCCTGGATTCAGATCTGCTCAGCTATAGCCACTGTGGCCATTTAGGGAGTGAACCATTAAATGGAAGATCTTTCTCTCTTCTCTGTAAATCTGCCTTCCCAATAAAAACAAATAAAACTTTTTTAAAAATCTGTCATAAATCAGGACAAGCATTTGCACAAACACAAATTCCTAGAGATAGTATACTACATGCCACTAGACTTTCAACCTTTCTCTTTTGTAACAGTAAATTATCCAACCAATGCTATCACTGCCCAGGATCCAAAACATGAAAAAAAAAAAACTATTCTAGATATCAAGGGCAAAGATTACCAGGATGATGTTAGATACACACTAACAAACACCACCTATTTTTCAAAGAAAGTAAATGCCTGTCTACTGGTAACTTTCATCAAAAATCATCTCTAGATCCAACAAATGTTTAAACTCAAAAGCTGTAACAACAGATAACAGAAAAGATAAACTTGTCCTCAAAAAAGTTTTGAAAATACAGATTTATCTCTACCATGAAAAAAACCATAATATGGTTGCCAATGAGGGGAAGGTTCCCAGAAATGAGTCCTTAACTCATATGAGTTGCACTTTGAATGAAATGCTGTACTTTTTGTCCAAGGCTCAAGAGTATCCTTTTTTCTTTCTTTTGGCAAAGTGTAGCTACTCTGCCTTCCACTAACTGGCCAACAACTTCTAATTCCTTGACTGTGACTTCTGTCTACACTACAAGAGGACATGAGTCTTCCTGTTAGGTAAAGTAGAAAAGCACAAGCTAATCAAAAGTTACCACTAATAGTTCAAGTGGAACAAAATCCAAATTTATGACAATGAAATTAACAAAGTAGATAGAGGAAGAGAGAATTAGAGACAGACTGACATGTCTAGAAAATGAGGTCTGAGGTATAAACGAGTTTTAAGGGGAGTCAGAAATTTGGACAGAAAAGGAGTTGCCCTAACAAATGAGTACAACCTACACATTTAAATTACAATGTAATTTAATCTCCCAGGAGTTCTTCTAAAGGAGTTAAAAAGTAAAATAACTTGCAAGTTCTGGAACCATAACTATTCTAAAGCAGAACTGGAAACACTTTTTTCCCGACACCCTCTCAAGCAGTAGCAATTAATCTACCAAAAGCCAGCAAGATCACCAACACTTACTGGGTACAGTTCTAAAGAACACAAAGCAACAGCATACCACATTTACCTACTCATGTTCAACTGAATGTGACTCAAGACATATTAGATGGAACAGGTCCTATAGAACAGTGTACCTAACTCTAGCCTCTGACAAAAGATGGCACCATAAGACTGTCAAAAATTAACTAGGTTAAAACCAACTGAAAGCATACAGACCTTCAATAAATAAAGTAACCATATACCAGTGGTAACAGATAAATTAAATCAAAATAAAATTGACTGGTAACTGGTAACTATATAAAAACTAAGGTATTAATGTGTTTTGGTCACAAAGCTAACATTAAGTATTTACCAAGAAACTGTCTTTTTAAGTCACTATTGCCTCAGGTGAATAAGAATGTCAAATAATAAAGCATCAGAACTCTAATTTCACTAGCGAATTTTAAAGCTTTCAGATACTCTAACAAGCACCTTCTCATTTATCAACATGCAAGGAGAACAAATTACGAGTCTTTGCTTAGATGGTGAAAAACTGAAAAGAACAGTTTGCTGCCAAAACAAGAAAGGATTGAATGAAAGCCATTTCTGAGGGTTCTGGACACATATCTGAAATTTCATGATATTAAAGACTGAAAATGTACATTCTATGAAGAATTAAAACAGTATCAGAAACAAGTGAAATGTTGTCATTATCAATCCTACTGCAAGTTACCTGGTGGCAAATCAGGATCTGTAGGCGCAGCATGTTGCATTCTTCGGGGTTTTATCGATGCTTTTGTGCTCTCAGTAACACTGCGGTTGGTAGAATTAGAGCCACAGCTTTCATGCTCATCCTGTTTTTATTTTAAAGAAAAAAAAAAAAAGCAAAGCATCAATCACATTCAAGAGACGGGAAATGTTTCATTCCCTCTATGCAGTTTGATTACCCAGAGATAATAAGATAGACTTTCAATTTATTTTTCAACTGCATAAACAATTTCCTTAGTTTGCATCCTCTAGCAGCATCTAATACAAAACTAGTTATTTGAAACTATAAAATTTCATTTCTGATATCACAAGAAAAACCACTTGTTAATGCCCTAAGAATGGTTTAGCAAACAAAACAAACAAGCAAAAAAAAAAAAAAGAAAAAAAGACTGGTGCAAGTTTTTAAACTATTTCATCTCTAAGTTTAAAATATATTGAAAGGTCTCTGTTTCCTTTATTCATTATTTGTTAAATTCCTCACTGCTCTGTATTTCGCTCAATTCTTAGTCATCCTAACAATTAACCTTAATCATTCTTAGACTAAAGGGTTTCTAAAATTTTTTTTCCATTTATTTTCATTTTATTGAACAGAGACACAGATCTTCCATCAACTCATTCACTTCTCAAATGCCTGCAAGCTGGGACTAGACTATGTTGAAGACAGCAACCTGACACTTGCTGGAGTCTCCCATGTGGATGGAAGGGATCCAAGTACTTAGGCATCACTTGCTCTGCCACAGCTCAGATTACCAGGAAGCTGCCTCAGAAGCAAATAACGAATGCTCAAACCAAGCAGTCAGGTATGTTAACTGTTGTGTCAAGCATCCACTGCAAAGGTTTAAACAGGTTTTAATATGGATAACTTAAATTTTTTGAAAGCCATCCCCTTACTTATAAAATGCAAATGAGTACACTTTCCTTGTTTTGATTCAACATTAACAATGATATTATGTCTCAATTACTGAGTTTACATTAGACAGAAGGCCTATTCCGCAGAGGTGCATTTTTGGTTTGTTAAGTAACAGCACACAAACAGCGTCATTTTATTTAGAAGAACAAGAGAAGCCAAGCATTAAAACCAAGCGTATGGTCTTCTCCAAGAGGGCACCAAGAGGGCAGTGTAGCAGAAGGGTCCAGCAGCCTTGGAATGGGAAGCCACAGCTCCTTTGCAGTGGCTTTTGCAACAGCATCTGGATGTGAGCTTGTGGAGTCAAGGTCAAGAGTAAGGATTGGCTTCCAGTTACCAAGCCAAGCTGTTAAGGTCAGCAAGGCCAAGTCCCTTCTCCGTGTCCAACAAAAAGGCTGAGATCACTCACGTTCTCCAGAAGGCATCCCTCAAGAATGAAGTTTCAGAAATTACTTCAGTGAAAAAGCAGTCCCACAGTGGCCAATAGATCAGGTTCAAAGCATATGTTGCCACTGAGGACTATGGTGACCAAGTCAAACTGGCTCTGAGGTGACCAGCACCATCCAAGGGCTACCATCCTGGCACATGCTTCCACTGCCCCAGCGCAATTCCCTAGAGGCAACTGGGACAACCGGATGGCAAAGTTTCCCACTATGGCTTTCAAGGATGACAGGCCCCAGTGGTCCAGCGCTGATGTGCTCATTCTTGCCCCTGCCTAGCCTGGCATCCATATTGTTCCTATCATACCCAAAGAGACACTGACAGTGGCTAGCATCCACAACTACTACACCTGTCAGGGACTGCACTGCCACATCAGGCAACTTTACCAAGGGAAATAGTCTACTTCTTTGATCCCTAACTTTTAGTTAACAACAACAACAACAAAAAAGACGGTGCTATCAGGACTGACTTTGACCACTCCAGAGTATCTCTCTGCAGTGAATCTAAGTTCTAATTTAGGGTTTTTATACAAGGAAATGAAGTGAGCCTCTCTAGAAAGAGTATATGGATGTTCTGGGCTAATATTGAAGCCAAATTAGAAGGAAAAACATAATAAAAAGGATACATACATATATAGCAATGATCAGGAATAATGATTAAGTAAATAAAGCTAGACTATACAATATTTAACAACAATACCAGTATGGTAAAGGCATGGACTGGTTCAGTAAAAACTGTGTTAACAAAGCCTAGGGAGAAAATCTCACTCCTCATTCAAGTTGACCTGTTCCCAGATCTGATAACAGGATGAAGCTGCCAACGAAAGGGATAGGAGTGGAAACCATAAATAAGGAGTTCCAAGAGCAAATGAAAAGTTAAAGTGGATACAGTATTAAGTATAGATTGCTCCTTCAGGAAGCCAACTAATTTTTTTCAGAATACAAGATCAGAAATACACACTGAGGCACAGTGTGGGTAATGTTACTACTTGTGATGCTGGCATCCCTAATGGGCATTGGTTCATCTCTCAGCTGCTAAACTTCTGAGCCAGCTCCCTGCGAAGAGCCAGGGAAAAGTAGTACAGCATAGCCAAAGTATTGCATGGATTCCTATCACACTGAAGCTCCTGATTTTGGCCTGCTCAGTACTAGCTGTTATAGCCATCTGGAGAGTAGATGAAAGTCTCTGTCCTTCTAATTCTTTCAAAATAAGTAAGTCAGGGGCGGGATGGGGTGTAGGGGAGGGAGCAGATACATGCTTGGGAAAAAGATGCTGATGTGGAATGAGAATATAAACATTCCAGCACAAAGGGTATAATGGTACAGTGAATTAATTTATGAGAAATAAGGACACTTTATGATACCTTTATCAATGCTATTAAATTTTAGAAAAAAAGGAACATGCAATTTGAGAAGCTAGCATTATATGAGAGGCAAGTAAGAATCATGAAAGCACCGCCTTAATCAAAAATTCTGTCCAATCCCATATTGCAAAAAAACAAAAGAAATTAAAATCACAGATGCTATAACACTCTAGGGGAAAAGCATTAAAACTCAAAACAAGCAAAAAGTAAACTATCTGCCATGCTAAAGTAAATTTTCACATGAACTTCTGTTCATTTTAAGTTAATGCAAAATGAACATCGTGCCATTTCATTTAAAAAAAAAAAAAACTTTCTAGGCCTGATGTGGTAGCACAGCACCTAAAGTCCTCACCTTGCACACTCCTGAATCCCATATGGGCGCCATTCTAATCCTGGCTGCCCCCTACTCATCCAGTTCCCTGCTTACAGCCTGGGAAAGCAGTACAGGACAGCCCAAAGCCTTGGGACCTTGCATCCACATGGGAAACCCAGAAGCTCCTGCCTCCTGACTTTGGATCAGTGCAGCTCTGGCTCATGCAGCTGCTTGGGAAATGAATCACCGGATGCAAGATCTTCCTCTGTCTCTCCTCCTCTCGGTACATCTGGCTTTCCATTGAAAATAAACATAAATCATAAAAAAAACTTTGCTATTCAATCTCTTTGATGGTACACACTCTATTATTTGGCAAATGAAATGCTTTTAAAACACTGAAAAAGAAGGCTCAGTGCAGGGCATACTGGCTAAAGTCCTCTCCTTGAATACACTGGAATCACATATGGGCACTGGTTCTAATCCCAGCAGCTCCACTTCCCATCCAGCTCCCTGCTTCTGGTGGGAAGGCAATTGAGGACGGCTCAAAATCTTGGGACCTTGTACACAGGTGGGAGACCTATAGGAAGGTCCTGGCTCCCGGCTTTGGATCGGTGCAGCACCGGCCATTGTGGTAACTTGCGGAGTAAATCATCCGACCTAGAACATGCAGGAGGGAGTGGCACAAGTGGCTGCAAGCAAAGACCTGTGTACCAACTGCAATAAGTAAAATCAAACTGCAGACCTGTGGGTGACACAGCTTAGAAACCTACCCCAGGCAGAAGACTCTGATAACCAGAAGTACAATGACTAACAGCAAAAGAAGAGACAAAGGCACAATGAGTATTACTGAAAACTCTCCTGCAAAGGAACAAAACCCCATGCAAACATCAGAGTACACTGAGGAAGACATTGAGAAAATGGGGGACACAGAATTCAGAAAACTCATTTTAAAGCTGCTGATCAACAATGAGAAGCACATACAAGAGTTCAAAGAATTTAAGGAATATTTCACACAAGAAATAGCAGCAATAAAGCAAATCAAGGCTGATAGATCAGAAATTAAGAACACAGTAGAGCAAATGAAAAGTATAGTGGAAAGTCTCCAAAATAGAATGAAACAAGCAGAAGAAAGAATCTCAGAATTGGAAGATATTTCCTGTCATCAGGGGAAAGCAAACAAAAAGCTGGAAGCAGAGCTGGATCAGGCCAAAAAATGTATTCAAGAACTGAAAGACACTACTAAGCGACAGAATATAAAAGTTATGGGAGTCCCAGAAGGTGCAGAAAGAGAAACTGGTTTTACAAATATATTTAATGAAATAATCAAGGAAAATTTCCCTAATCTAGAAAAACAATTGGGAAACAACATCCAGGAGGGCCACACAACTCCCAACAGACCTGATCAAAAACAATTTCACCACCACACATGATCATCAAACTCTCTTCAATCAAGCATAAGGAAAAGATCCTTAAATGTGCACGTGAAAAAAATCAATTGACATATAAAGGAATGCCAATTAAACTCACAGGAGACCTCTCACAGGAAACTCTACAGGCCAGAAGAGAATGAAGTGACATATTCCAGATTCTAAAAGAAAAAAATTGTCAGCCTAGGATAAAATATCCAGCAAAGCTTTCTCTTGTCTTTGAAAATGAAATAAAATTCATCCACAGTCAAGAAAAGTTCAAAGAATTTGCCTCTTCCAAACTTGCCTTACAAATGATACTTTAAAATGTTCTCTTGACAGAGAAGAGGAAGCACACCCAACAAAACCAAAGGTAAATAGGAAGAACATCCCAGTAAAATGACAACAGAAGGCTAAATCAATGAACAACCCATTCCTACAATGACGGGAGGGAACAAATTACGACCCATACATATTAACCCTGAATGTAAATGGCTTAAGCTCAAGCAAACGTCATGAATTAGTAGACTGGATTAAAACACAAATCCCATCTATTTGTTGTCTAGAAGAGACATTTCACCCACAAAAATCAGCGGAAGTTATATCTCATGGATTTTGATGTTTTTGTTTTTGGTAGTTTCATCTCTTCAAAACAC